CCTCCAGGAGTGCAGGGGGCGCTGATCACGAGCGCTTCTGTCCGAGGAGCTCGAGGCGCTCGCAAAATCCCATAAACATTTGTGCCCCGAACCATCTGAGGAAAACAGCACATTTGCTTCAAGCGTACTTCAGTTTTAGTATTTTATTTATTTATTTATTTTATTAAAGTGGACTTGTCTTTGTTAAATGCCCACATTATTAGTTTTAGAGGTAACATTTTTTTTCTTTTTGCACCTTTTTTCTAACCAGCCTATAGACTTTTTAATTAAGGAATGAAAAAATTATATAATAATTAAAAAAAGACATGTGGTTGTGCTACAGATAAGCAACATCCATCAGTTTGAGTCAATCAGGAGTGAATTTTCTTTTATATCAATCATAAGATATCTGAAAAAGAACGAACAGGCATTTTTTATATTGCTGCATTATTTTTTTTCTCTTGCTAAGTTACATATTTAATAGTAAAAATATTAATAAAAAATTAAATACTATAGAATAAGAATTAAGTATAAATACTAATAAAAAAATTAAATAAATAAATAAAACAAATAAAGTAATAAAATAAATAATGAAAGAAAAATAAAGAAAATAAATGAAGTAATTAAATAAAGTAATTAAATAAAAAAGAATAAAATAATGTAAGTTAAAGTAATTCAATTAATAAAATAAGATAATAAAGGATTATAAAATGATTAAAATATTAAATAAAATAAAGTAATAAAATAAATAAATAATGACACAAAAAATAAAGAATAAAATAAAGTAAATTTAAAAAGTAATAAAATAAAAAGTAAAGTAATAAAATAAATAAAATAAAAATAAAGTAATAAAATAAATAAATAATGACACAAAAAATAAAGAATAAAATAAAGTAAATTTAAAAAGTAATAAAATAAAAAATAAAGTAATAAAATAAATAAAATAAAAATAAAGTAATAAAATAATAAATAAAGAATAAAATAAAGTAAATTAAATAAAAAAATACAGAAAATAAGTAAATTTAATTAGGTAATAAAATAAATAGATAAAGTAAAAAAATTCAAAATAAATAATGAAATAAAGTAAACTAAATGAATAAAGTAATAAAATAAAGAAGATAATAAAATAGCAAACAAATGTATTAGGCAATAAAATAAAAGTAATAAAACAAATAAAGCAATAAAATAAATAAACAAAAACTAATAAAACAAATAAACAAACAATAAATAGAAACAGAGAGCATCTGTGGTCTGCTCGTCTGATAAAAAGTACAAAAAAATGCCATTATAATTTCACAGGAAAGCATAATGAATCTATCATTTTTCTCCCTAAACTTTACATTTCTATTCAGGTTAATGCATATTCTCCTAAAACACAACTGTTGCACTCACATATCTCTCCTTGTTCTCATCAGGGAAGGGCAGTTTTTGAAAGAAGCTCTGCGTGAACACCTCCAGTCCTCGAGCCTGCATCGCCTTCACCAGCCACTCCACCGGCATCCCACTGACAGACACAGACAAATAATAACAACAACCAATAATCATTTATAACAGGCTTGTTTGCTGCACTTCACACTGCATGATTTTAATAATTATCTGATCTCTGTTGTTTTCACACTGCAGGATGTTCAATGAGAAGAAAATACACACTGCAGGACTATCTAGGGGCTATTTAATCCTCTTATTAGTAAAAATAAAACAGCTGTTCTACTCACTCTGCTTTTCGTTTGTGAGCATTGAACTCTTTGGCAGCAGCCAAAGCTCGTTCTCCTGCAGAAAAGCGCTCCTCCACCATTGTGGAGCCCATGGCGTTCTCTGACATATATGTGCGCAGTGTGAAGGGCTCGAACGCCAGACCCATGAACCACACTATCGCTGCCAGGTAGCACACCACACTAGATAAACACATAGTAAGGCTTTTTTTAGTAAACAAAATCTATTAGTCAAAATACATTGGTAACACTTTATTAAAGTATTATTTAAGTCACAATCCATGCTAATACTAAGACTTTTAACTCAATAACTCAATTTAACTCAATAAACTGCTAATAATATATACAAGTTATAAACTAAAGAATAAAATATATAAAAAGTTTTTTTAAAAATTAGGTAATAAAATAAATAAAATAATTAAATAAAAATAAAGAAGAAAATAAAGTAAATAAAGTAAAAAAATAAGGTAATAAAAGTATTCAAATAAATAAAGTTATAAAATAAATAAAGTAATAAAATAAAAAATAAAGAACGAAAGAGTAAAATAAACAAACAAAGTTATAAAATAAAATTAAAAGATTATTAGGCAATAAAAGTAATAAAATAAATGAATAAATAAAGAAAAAATAAAGGATACAAATATATAAATAAAGTAAAATAAATAAAATAAATGTAAAAAAGAAATTAGGTAATAAAATAAATAAAGTAATTAAATTAAGTAAAGTAAAAAAATAAAAAATAATATAAATAAATAAATAAAAAACACACACACACACACACATATACATACATACATACATACATACATATATATATATATATATATATATATATATATATATATATATATATATATATATATATATATATATATATTAGGCAATAAAAGTAATACAATAAATGAATAAATAATGTTAAAATAAAAATTTAAGGACAAAAATATATAGGTAAATAAGGTAATGAAATAAATGTAAAAAATAAATTAGGTAATAAAATAAATAAAGCGGTAAAATAAATCAAGTAAAAATTAAAAAAATTAATTCATTAAATTAATAAAATAATGGAAGAAAAAATAAAATAAATAGGCTACTTTAGTAAACAAAAGCTACTGGTCAAAATACATTGGTAACGCTTCATTCTAAGTCAAAATCCATGCTATTACCAAGACTTTTAACTCAATAAACTGCTCTCTCTCTTTGCTCTCTCTCTCTCTCTCTCTATGTATATATATATATATATATATATATATATATATATATATATATATATATATATATATATATATATAAACACAAAAACCTTAAAGTTTAAATAAATGATTGATTAATCAAAAAGACGCCTGAACTAAATTGGAGGTTATCAACAATTTTGTCCATGTCTATATTTCTTATAGCAGCACACTTCAGATGCAGTGAATGCGTACCATATGGGTGTGTTGAGTCGGGTCAGCAGGTTGGTCAAGGCTTTTCTGCGATTCGGGTCGGATAACAAACCCATGATGAACACCTACTGCTCTGAGAGAGCTAACAAACAGAAAACAAAGCCACAGAGAGGGACAATTAGCCATTGCTTGTACATTAATACACATTTAATAGCAATAATAATAACAATAAGATATTTTACGCAGCCATACAACGGTTTCTATATAAATCCAAATAACTTAATATATTAACAATCATTCATAATATTAATATAGAAATATACTATAAAAAACACCAAATCTAATAAAAAAAGATGCAAACATGACTGAAAGCTATTATTTGCGAACTGAAAATACCACTCCCATACAAGAAATACAGCCACGACAAACTAACATAATGAAAAGACACAATTAAAACACAAATATTCAGCTTTCTGCGTTATTTGGATGAATTACCTGAAGAAAATTAGAGATTTCTTGCTGTGTGGATGCAGATGCTAGCTCATCTCCTGCTATGGACACAGTAAATTAGTTTCAGAATGACCACCACATTAATGCGGACGTCCATATAAATTATAGTATATATATGTACATAATCGTGGCGTCCTTACCTTGAAAACTTCAAACATTAAAGCAGAGTTTGATCTGCAGCTGTAGTGCATTCATTCACACTCCTGTTCCGTGTTTCGGACGGAAGTAATACGGTGACGGACCAGCTTCCTGTAAGTGACTATTGTGAATGGATTTTTTTTTTTAGCGTGACGCTTGTGTAACTACAGATATATCCATGATGTAACTAAATGTACTATGAATATGTTTATTTGTAGTATAAATTTCACGATCAATTAAAAATTAAGAAATATAGGCGGAGATCAGGATCGAAGCCATATTAAATATTTTATTTACATTTGTTAGCACGTTATTTATTGAATAATAAAAACATATTTATCATGTCTGTTCGTCGATATTCCTTCTCTCTTTTTTATATTGACATGATAGCATCACACAGTTGCTGCAGATTTGTCGGCTGCACATCCATGATGCCAATCTCCCGTTCCACCACATCCCAAAGCTGCTCTATTGGATCATTGAGCTCAGGTGACTGTGGAGGCCATCCGAGTACAGTGAACTCATTGTCATGTTCAAGAAACCAGTCTGAGATGATTTAGCTTTATGACATGCTGCGTTATCCTGCTGGAAGTAGCCATCAGAAGATGGAGACACTGTGCTCATAAAGGGATGGACATGGTCAGCAGCAATACTCAGGTAGGCTGTGGCGTTGATGCTCAATTGGTACTAATGGACCCAAAATTTGCCAAGAAAATCTCCCCCACACCATTACACCACCACCAGCCTGAAACGCTGATTCAAGGCAGGATGGATCCATGCTTTCATGTTGTTGATGTCAAATCTGACCCGACCATCTGAATGTGTCATCAGAAATGGAGACTCATCAGAGCAGCAACGTTTCTCCAATCTTCTATTGTCCAGTTTTGGTGAGTCTGTGTGAATTGTAGCCTCAGTTTCCTGTTCTTAGCTGACAGGAGCAGCACCCGGTGTGCTCTTCTGCTGCTGTAGCCCATCCGCCTCAAGGTTGGACGTGTTGTAACGAGTGGTTATTTGAGTTATTGTTGCCTTTCTATCAGCTGGAACCAGTCTGGTCATTCTCTTCTGGCATCAACAAGGCATTTGCGCTCGCAAAACTGCCGCTCACTGGATATTTCCTCTTTTTTAATAAATCTATTTGAATGATTTTAGGTTACAGAAGAGAGAAGAACGCTCGTCATCCCTGCTGTTTACACATCTGTTTATTGCATGCCAACATTTACAAGCTGTTTTCTTTATTTAACAAACCACCAACTTCCAAAGTTCCCACAAAAACAAAAGACGCACAAAAGACAAACGCAGCTGAAAGGTGTATATTAGAGACGACACACTTCAATGAACTTACTGTCAAGATTTTCATGAGAACAGTTATGAAGATTAGCGACAAACCCATTTCATGAAATAATAAAGCCATCATACAACATGCTAACAATGCTAAAGTCAGATTTAAACATCAAGATTTTCATCCAAATGGGAGTTTGGTTTTCTCTGTTTTTGAAAATTGATGATTTGATGACTTCTCAGTTAAAAGGCTTGTGCTAGATATTCATTTTTCAGATGAAACTTCCTTAAGAAATGTGGATTTTTTTGACCATACCATCAAAGTCACTGTAAAAGGAAAGAAATAGCAAAGATTTACATTCAAATAGCAAATTATCAGCCCTCCTGTCACATTTAATTCTGTTTCAAATAATCCCCAAGTGATGTTTAACAGTGTAAGAACATTTTGTTTGTTGATTTATTGCCGCATCAGTAACTGATGGCTATTTCATTGCAAGAAAAAATTAAGCAAGATTACAATTAAGTTTATTAACTGTTTGTAACCTGTTGATTTTATTTGTCAGTTTTTTAAATGCACATCGTCAGATTTCTTAGAATCAATCTAAAACTCTTAAAATTGAATACTATTAGATTTAATCAGTTCAAAAGTACATGTATGAATGTGTTTTAAATATATCAAGATGTAGAAAAGCCACATCCAATTGGTTAAATGCAACCCAGGTTCATTGCGGATACGTACAGTGCTAAAGTCTACATTTCTGGGGACAGCGAAATACGTAACCGGAGGTACATCTGCTTGCAGTTTTTGTTTTTGGAAATCCACCAGAGACCGCTGTGTACGCTTTTTGGTGATCTCAAATTCCTCCTGTGCGTCCTCTTCTTTCGTAAATCCACCAGAGGGCGCAAAATACACTTAAGGCGACCAGTCCAGGTCATGGTCAACTGACCGCCCACCCACCTCGGTCCCTAAACCCAACCGATAGTGTTTTCAAAAGCAATCTAGAAAAGGAAAGCCGTCGCAGCCGTCGTGCCTGTTTATTTCTTTATTTTATTTCATTTGCTTTTGTTTAACCTGTTTTCTGGAAGCATTCTTCGCCAAACTCGAAACTCGTCGTCGAGGTCAACTTTGCTAAGCATCCCAAGTCTGCCGAGCTCCTAGACAAACTGGTAACACCATGTATTTTTAGGTAAGCGGTAAGCTGGTAGCGCCAAAAGGAACAGAAGCCATAGCGATGTCATACCGCTACGTTCGTTTTAAAGATGAAATGCAGACTTCAGAAATGTAGACAGGGGAACGTATCCGCAACGAGCCTGTGTTGGTTAATATCTATGAGGTTTACTTAATATTCAGGGGCAAAAATGTTGCAAAAAATATCACTTTAGGCAAGTATCTTGCAGAAAAAACAGCAAAATATTAGTACTGTCATCATGGCAAAAACAACGTTTAAAAAAATCTTCTCTGTTAAAAGTCACGTCAGAAATATTTTTCAAATAATTTATTTTCATAGAAGGGTTAATTATTTTTATCTTCATGGAACCATGCTTGTCTTTTGCATGCACTATAGTTTACAAATACGAAAACTGCAATTTAAAAATTAAATACAACGTACAATAGACCATACCTCAGGCTCAAAGAGAGTCCGCGTACAGTGCTGGCGGTGGAAGGAGATCGATGTCTGCAAACTGGAAGTTTTCTACTTCCCTGTTAAGCGAAAATGCACATTAAATCACACACAGAACAGGCTTAGTTTCTTGAAAAGATATACCAATTTGAATGTTTGTCAGACAAATGTTAATCATTTAGTCATATACAGTATCGTATTGATATTTAATGCCATGTCAGCAACAACAGCTGTTTTCATGGGAAAAACTATTAAAAATAAAAATAACAAAACACAAAAAAATAAATGCATAAATTAGATCAGATTCTGAATGTTAATATATAATAAAAAAAATCCTGCTGTATATCTCTTAAAGCAAGTTAATTTCAATAAAAAAACTGCATTCAATCATTCAAATTAACATGTTCATTTATTCATTCATTTTCTTGTCGGCTTAGTTCCTTTATTAATCCAGGGTCGCCACAGTGGAATGAACCGCCAACTTATCCAGCAAGTTTTTACGCCCTTCCAGACGCAACCCATCTCTGGGAAACATGCACGCACACATTCACACACACTCATACCCTACGGACAATTTAGCCTACCCAATTCACCTGTACCGCATGTCTTTGGACTGTGGGGGAAACCGGAGCACCCGGAGGAAACCCACGCGAAGGCAGGGAGAACATGCAAACTCCACACAGAAACGCCAACTGAGCCGAGGCTCGAACCAGCAACCTTCTTGCTGTGAGGCGACAGCACTACCTACTGCGCCACTGCCTCGCCACCAGATTAACATGTGAAAATGTTAATGCTTAAAAATAAATGACCCTATTAATCCTCTAATCAACAACCACCGCCAATACATCAATCTGAAAATGATTAGAAGACTATATGACGCTATAAAAGTTTAAATAATAATAAATTATTATTCACTGTGTTTTGAAGTGTCTGCGATGTCAATATTGTGCATGTTCATGATCACAATACATTGAACACTAGCATTTCTAATTCAAATGTTTATCAGCCAATCAGAATCAAGCATTCAAAAATGCTTGTATTATTAAAAAAACATCAAATGTTCATTGTTCAAACTCACTGTGCATGGTGGTCTTCAATACTCCAATCACTGAAAGTATGAGCAGCGAAAGAGTTACTATCTACTGCGGAGAGAGCAAAAAAAGGTAACGATTACTCAATAATACACTGAATACTATAACAGGATCGAAACTATTTTATATAAACATTAAATAACTAAGTAAATATATAAAAACAAACATTAAAAAAAGTAAAGGACATATTCCAAGGGATTCGTCTAGCTCAAATTGTGAAGGAGCATTTCAGGAAGCATTAGACATGGACTGGCCACCACACAGTCCAAACCTTAACCCTATTGAGAATCTTTTCGGATGAGCAGCAGTCTGACTCTCATCAATACAAGATGTTAGCAAAAAATGTATGCAAATCTACACAAGAACAAACGTTGTGACATTGCAGAGGCATACTGAAATAATGCCATGGCGATTATCAACACTAAAGGCGGTCCACAGAGATATTACAGTGTGTGTCTATTATTTTCTGTATTGAACAAGCAGTTTAACTAATATAAACATTGCTCTGAGCAAGTTAAAATGCATACTTACATATATCAGGCAAAGAGGCCGCTCTGTTCTGACTCCTTAAAGAGAGAAGGAAAAATAGATTTATAAATAACCTATTGACCTGATTCTGCAATGCGAAACTAGTTTTTGCGAATGTTTTAGAACTTCCGATCCAGTTTCCTTTAAATAAATAGTAGAAAGTGATCAAACTACTTGCTTTATAAACAAATGCTCATGGCTATACATAAAATGGAGAATTATATATCAGTTTTAAGTGAATGAGAGCGGAAGAATCCAATGGCTGCATCTGCTCGTGAATGAAGAACTTCAAAGCTCAATAAACAGTTTAGAAATATTTGTAAAGCTCAACCCGAAGGCATTTTTATGAAAAGGAAAAAGATTCAAACTCACAAATTCTCAGTTGACAGAGAGAAAGTGTCATCTTCATACATCCACTCTTCACTGTCATCAGTGACTGGAGGCCAACAGAACACACAGAATAGAAAATCAATATATTATACACCATGATTTTACTTTCTGATGATAAGCTGACATGCAAAAGACAAGTACTCATACACTTACAACCGATTTACAATGTCTTCCAGAGGATGTTCACATAGAAGAATCTAAGGATCTGAGATTCCTTGTAGCAAACTTGTGTGTGTGGTTTCAAAAATGCAACCATTTATTTGTGTTGTGTTTAATTTTAATTTGTTTATATTCATTTATTCTTCATTTATTATATTTAATCATATGATGATTATTAATTTATATAGTTATTACATCATTTTATTGATTATTAGCAGGGCCAGACTGAATCTGCGGACGTTTTTTGCTATTTCTGTGGAGAATTTTGGTCAAAAATCTGTGAATTTCTGCCGAATTATTTTGGGAGTATCATAACTACAAACTTAATATGTGAAATAAAAAAATAATACCTTTTTTAACTTTTATTTAATGCTTAAAATGCAAATCCAATTAGATTCACTTTATTTGGTAAACAAAGCAAATCTCTCATATATCTAAAATATTATTGTACAAACTGCACTGTACATACATCAGATGAACATTTTCATAATAGTCAATAATATTACTGTAATTCATTAAAAAAGGGAATAAATATAGATTTACACATTTAAGTAAATAAACAGAATTAATGAGGGGCTAAAAATCTGCGGAAATCTGTGCGTGCAGATTCCGCGTGGGCCTATTAGTAAATGATTTGATTATTAATATTATTTGTCATTTTATTATTACCATTTTCCTATAATTATCGCTTTTTTACAGGTGATGTAACCAAATCTAATATTTACTTTTGCAGTAAGTCAGAAAACAAGTTATAGACACTCAATTCAGCTAGAAGATTGTTGTTGTTAAGTTCAAGGTGCCGATATTTCATTATATGAAGGAAACAAAGAGAAACACTTACAGCTGCTTGTAAACATTTGATTCTGATGTGAGGACCTACAAAGAGCAAACAAGAAAAGCATTTAGATCTACAGCTGTATTCACACACCGTCACCACACAACTGTGTGTAAACCTCTTATACAGTAAGTGATGTTTGCATAATGGATCCCCTTTAATACTTAAAAATGGCCATCACTGGCTTTCATTTCTGTAAGAATGTCTATAGGTCATTACCTGCTGCTGAAACTGATGTTATCTCCATCGGTCTGGCCTCGTCCAGCCGCCTGCGAAACCTTTTTTCCAAGCTCCAGCATCTCCTTAATGTTCAGCTCCACATTCATCACAGATATGTAGCCGTCTATAAACAGAAAAACCGATTAAAAGACGTTTCCCCTCCTGCATCAGTGAAACAAGTAAAGCTGAATCAGCAATAGCGGCATGGTGGCTCAGTGGCTAGCCCCACTGTTCCCCCACAGTCCAAACACATTCGCTATAGGGGAATTGATGAACTAAACTGGCTGGAGTGCATGTGAACCTATCATTGAAGACTTTAACATGGATCACAGTGCATTTTCATGCAGATTGAGGTCATTTTTAAATCGAAGGCGAGAAAAATCTTTATAAAAAAATCCTGTCTACATATATACATGGCCTCATAAGTTTTTTCATCAACTCACATTTGTTGTTGGCGTCTCTGGCCAGCCATTTCCCCTTGGGGCAGTTGACCGTTCGGATGATGCTGATCAGATCTCCACTCTTGACAGGCAGGTCGTACTTGCGGAGTTTGCTGTCCGCCAGCACTCTGGCATGATACATGGGCTCTTCCAGTCCCGTGATCTAGAAAAAACACATGACATGCATATCACGAGATAAAAGTGGGACCTAAAGTCATACTTGCATTGCCACTGCACTACATGTCAAAACAGGTGGAATCTGGTAAAGTGCACTTCTACCAGGGCTGGACAATATATCAGCAAAGACACCACAATGTGTGCATCTGTGTTAGAACCTAGAGCGCCACCTAGCCTAAAGTGACATCTACTGTTAAACACAAGCCTAGAGCACCATCTGCTGGTCAAAACTGACCTAGACTGCTAATTGTTGTTAAAAACTAGCCTAGACCGGTCTGTTGTTTAGAAACTAACCTAGAGTGCCGTCTGCGGTTTAAAAGCTAGCCTAAAGCACCGTCTGCTGTTAAAACTAGCCTAGAGGGCCATCTAGTGCAAAAAACTAGCCTAGAGCGCTATTTGTTGTTAAAAACTAGCCTAGAGCGCCATCTGATGTTGCAAACTGGCCTAGAGCACCATCTGCTGTTAAAAACTAGTCTAGAGCACCATCTGCTGTTAAAAACTAGCCTAGAGCCTCGTCTCCTTTTAAAAACTAGCTTAGAGCATCGTCTGCTATTCAAAACTAGCATAGAGCATCGTCTGCTGTTCAAAACTAGCCTAGAGCGCCATCTGCCTTTTCAAACTCCTTTCATTTAAATGCATGGGCTGACACTGAGTGTGTAGTGTTAATGCATTAGAATTTACTTTAAATTTCTTGTGCAGTTCATTCCTCTTCTTATCCTTCTCTTTCTGCTCCTTCTTCTCCTTCTCCAGACGCTGCTTCTCTTTCTTCTTCTGCTCTTTATCCTCGTGGTGATCTGGGCTCGACTGCTTCTTTCTGAAAAAAAATCACATTTTTAAGCAGGACAGCTTACACCACCTGACGAAAATCTTGACGTCGATCCAAGTTGAAAGAGCAACAAATAATAACTCGACTTCTAGTTGATCATTTGGAAAAGTGTCAGAAGGTGGATTTCTCTGATGAATCATCTGCTGATCTGCATCCCAATCATCACCAATACTGCAGAAGACCTACTGGAACCAGCATGGACCAAGATTCTCACAGAAATCAGTCAAGTTTGGTGAAGGAAAAATCATGGTTTGGGGTTACATTCAGTATAGGGGTGTGCCAGACATCTGCAGAATGGATGATCAACATCAACAGCCTGAGTATCAAGACATTTGTGCTGCCCATTACATTACAAACCACAGAAGCAGGACAAATCTCCAGCAGGATAGCGCTCCTTCTCATACTTCAGCCTCCACATCAAAGCTCCTGAAAGCAAAGATTGGCCAGCCCAGTCACCAGATATAAACATTATTGAGCATGTCTGGGGTAAGATGAAGAAGGAGGCATTGAAGATGAATCCAAAGGATCTTGATGAACTCTGGGAGTCCTGCAGGAACGCTTTCTTTGCCATTCTAGTTGACGCAACAAGACTTTTGTCATGTAGTGTATATGAAGAACGACTAAATCTCATCTTCCTTTTTTCTCAGTGTCCATTGAAACCTCACCAGAAATACCCCGTTACTGAGGATTATGTTTGTTTGTTATTTATTTTATATTGTTAATTCATTTTATTATCAGCTTAGTCCCTTAATTAATCAGTGGTTACCACAGCGGAATGAACCGCCAACTCAGAAACACTCATACACTTTCATTCACACACACACACACACATTCATACACTACGGCCAATTTAGTTCATCAATTCCCCTATAGCGCAAGTGTTTGGACTGTGGGGGAAACCGGAGCACCCAGAGGAAACCCACGCCAACACGGGGAGAACATGCAAACTCCACACATATTGTTTGCTATGCTGTTACATGTATCTGTTGTTTATTAGTCTGCCTAGTATAGTGACTATGGGAGTTGAAGGGTGCATTAGAAGTAAAATTATTATTGCTATTGATATTGGCAAATATCAAAACTGCCTTTACAAAATAAAGGTAATAAATCAATTAATAAATAAAACTAAATTGCAAGTCTAAGTAAAAAAAAAAACACTAAATCCACATCCCAGTACATTTTTACAGATTACAGTAAATTTATAAAAACCGCAAGACGAGTTCAGTCACACACAGAATAAAACAGATTTGGTAATACCTATCATGCTGAGTGTGTCCATTTTGATCTTCAGCTGGATTCGACCTTTATTTTATAACATGGAAACAAGCAAGTTCAACGAGTTAGCTGGATTATTTCTATGCACTGCACATAAACATGAACTGTAACATCAGCCTACAGACAACAGTGCAAGGAAATAAATGTTGACCAACCACTGAGGCACGTGCCATATAGTCCTCCACGTTTCTTCTTTCTGTCAAACAAATTAAGAAACATTTTACGAGTCTGGAATTGATAGATGATTCACATAATGCTCCTAATAAACTGAATTTCCAGCATACGAATCCCGATTTGAATCCTGATACAATATACGAATCCCGCTTACACAATGTCAAACAGTATTTTATAAATGAATAATTTATATTTACTCACCAAACTGCTGTTATCTGCATATGGATCTGAAGAAGAAAATACGTTAATGACATTTACAGACTTTCTGTAGCTGTTCGGCTAGTATAATACTCACTTTTAGGAGCTCCTTTATACTTCAATGAGCTTTGAGCAACTGGAAATTTGGGCACCGCCTCCACGTCCTCGTAAACATTGTCAAAAGGTTCATGGAAACGTCTCGACTGAGAAGAGCTGAAGAAAACAAGAATTATCTGAATTATCCTGCATTGTATTGTGCAATTTACAGTTGACGACAGAATTATTAGCCCTCCTGTGAAATGTTTATTATTTTCAAATATTTAAAAATTGCTGTTTAATGGAGAGAGTGTTTTTCGACACATTTAGTTATAATTATTTACTGATACTAATACAAATTTTAATTACTAAGTTCTTTTGTCTTAGACATGATGAGAGTACATATATTACTTTTCAAGATACTTCAACTTAAAGTGCAATTTCATTGCTTAACTAGGTTAATTTATATAATTATTATACTGTATTCATTGTATAACATTCATTGTGGTTTGTTCTGTAGCCAATCAAAAAATAACAATTTCTTAAGAGGGCTACTAATATTGACCTTAGCAATTTTTCCAATTTAAATAAATACATATTTCAGCCGTACTGTATAATAGATATAATAAAAATATAATAAATATAAAATATATTAAATAACACTGTGAAAAAAAAATCCCTTGCTTTGGTTAATATCACTAGAGAAATATTTGAAGCAGAATTTAAATTTCACAGGAGGGCAAAAATAATGATACTACTAATTTTAAATATTAGACAACCATTCAGAACTATATAAATATACAATTTACTTATTTATTTTAATTATTTATTAATTATTGATTTATTTATTCATTCTTTTTTCCATTTGTTTAATTAATTAATTACTTTATATGTTTTAATGCCATAACAGCAGCATTGGCTATATTCATGGCAACACTTGTTCTAAATATTCAATATATATAAATTTACAATCATAACAGTTTCTTAATAATCATTCATTCCACAAAAAACAATGTAATCTTGTCGCCTATCTAAGTCTTAGGAATAACAAATAATAAGTTGACTTCTAGTTGAAAATATGATCATGCCTTGATAAAGTCCTGCTGCAGTGGAGACAGAATGAATATTGTGTCTGACTCCATCATGAGCTTGGAGGACTGCATCCATACATCTCTGACTCAAATCACTGATTAATAAAGTCATCTGGAATGGTGAAGAAAGCGTTCTTGCAGGACTCCCAGAGTTTAAAAACATTCTTTGGATTCATCTTCAACACCTCCTCCATCTTACCCCAGACATTCTCAATAATGTTCATGTCTGGTGACTAGGCTGGCCAATCCTGTAGCCCCTTTGCTATCAGGAGCTTTGATGTGGAGGCTGAAGTATGAGAAGGAGCGCTATCCTGCTAAACAAATGATGTTGATCACCCACTCTGCATATCTCTTGCACATCCCCATACTGAATGCAACCCCAAACCATAATACTTCCTTCACCAAACTTGACTGATTTCTATAAGAATCTTGGCTCCATGCTGGTTCCAGTAGGTCTTCTGCAGTATTGGTGATGCAGTTCAACAGATGATTTAGCAGAGAAATCCACCTTCTGACACTTTTCCAAGTGATCAACTAGAAGTCAAGTTATTATTTGTTGCTCTCACAACTGGGATCGACCAAAAGACTTTTGTCAGGTATTGTATATATCTCAAACATTTGCCCTAAAATATTTTCTGGATAAAACATTCCCTTTTCAGTATAATTACGATAACATTCAACAGAACGAAAGTTTTACACTGGTTCTGATGAGCGCTGCTGTTCACTGCTCAAGCTGACGTTAGTGTGTGATCCGTTCACCCTAAGGTCAGAGGTCACCGTCTCTGTAGTCAACGGCAAAACCCCAACATTTCTCTTCTCCTCTGAAGACTGACAGACAACACAATAAAAGAAAGTAACATTTATTTATTAGGAATTAAACATAGCAAAGCTATCCAAAGTACAACCTTCTAAAGCCTTATCATTTATTATAGTCATTTATTCATTTAATTTTAACAGTAACCTAATGGTGGGCACAATGTTTACAGCACACAAGTCTATTCTTGGTTTAATTTTGGAGATCATCCTTCATGTTCAGTCATGGCTTGTAGTTATTTCGAATGTACGTTAGTGCTGTAAAGGTGTCAAAAATCTTAACTTGGCGTAAAACTAATCCCAGGGGTCACAAAAAAATAGGAAAAGCTGATGGCTTTTAATTAGCATTTAATGTAACTATTAGCTACTATTTTAACTTCTGTAGATTATGGATAAAATATGGTAATTTTAATGGTTTAATAAAATGTATTTGATGTTTGGAAATGCCCAAGCACGCCTTCCCCCTTTTTTAATGCTACCTGTGAATCCAGGTTGTTGTCTTCATCTGCTGCTGGTGCTGGAGGAGACAAATCTGAAGCCAAAATTTCAGTCGCCTCTAATTCCAGAGCCGCCAGATTTATGGCACTACTGTCTGCAGCTTCTGGAGCAGACATATCGAAATCTGGAAATTCAGGAGGAGGCAGGCTTTCATCAAGAGCTGCATTGCCCACAGTCAAAGTCTCATTCTCGGGAACACTTTCTAGAAGAGGAGTAAAAAACAATGTACAGTTTTCTATAAATAAAGTTAAACTGTCCATAACTCGCTGTCTGATTTATGATTATATTAACTGCGGAAACTGACCAGTTCTGTATAAATAAATTAAGTCACAATGTAATTAGTCTATTAAGCACGAAATGGCATAAGATGTCATGTTTTTGTAACAACAATTGCAATTTTTACCAGCAATATTGTTCCTAAAAATTAAAGTATTTTAATAAAAAATTAAGTATTTATTGTCAATTAATTATTTATTAATTCTTTACTTATTTCCATATCAGCAACCTTTGGCTATTTCATGGCAAAATGGATATACGTAAAAATATTACATGATAAAAGCAAATTCGTATTACAATAAAAAGTTACTTAGACAAATATACAATAGAAATTAATAAAATTCACACAAAAATATATTCAAAGTTAAATGATTTTCCAATTCAATTTTTAATAAATAATCTAAGATTCTTCCTGGTGGTACCTTTTAAAAATATCCATTAAAATGCTTGCCTAATAGTCTAATGGTATTCAGACTTCCACATTCCAACAAAATGTTTCATGATAAGAGCAGCTTGGCAGTAATTACATTTAGGTGTTGATTCGTTATTCAGTGAATACAAATAAGTCAACCTAGAGTATCCAATTCGACATCTAGTAGAGACAGTTTGTTAATGCCTGGTCTCAAACATATAATTTGCAAAGTGTCTTTCATTTATTTTTGGGTTCATTTTCAGTTTATTGATTAAATATACAAAAATATACAATATACAAAACTAAATTGTCGATAACTTGCTTTCTAATTTAAATAAAATTATGAGTTTTGGTTATACTAACTGGCAAATTCACCAGTTTTGTGTAAATAACACACAGTTGAAGTCAGAATTATTAGCCCCCTTTTAATTTTTTTTTTTTCTTCTTTTTAAAATATTTTCCAAATGATGTTTAACAGAGCAAGGAAATTTGCACAGTATGTCTGATAATATATTTTTCTTCTGGAGAAAGTCTTATTTGTTTTATTTTGGCTAGAATAAAAGCACTTTTAAATTTTTTAAACACCATTTTAAGGTCAATATTATTAGCCGTAACCCACACATGTAAAAACCACAAACAAATAAATACAAATTACACAACATTTTTAAAGCAGAAGAGAATAGGGATGCAACGATTAACCAATTTCCCTATTAACGCGTGTATTCATAACGCTTAATTAATCTTAAAGACTTCTCAACAGTGCATCTCTGCACAGAACAAAACTGCAGCAGCTAAAAGTTTTGCCAACTGTCCGTTATTTCCAATGGAGAAGCGCGGCATACGGCACATATAGAAATATAATATAATTATATATAATAATACATATAGCGGCACGACCTCCTTGTACCTTCTGTGGCTTTCAGTGCAACGTAAACAAAAGATGTGTTAGATAAATTATTACATGTAACATTATTACATATATCTACATAAAAATTATTATTATTATTATTAAAAATGATTATATATGTATGGACACAGATGTAAACAACAGTTAATTTAAATACTAAATAATACTGAATAATAATATATAGATTAGCTTAGATTTACATTAGACAAATGCTATTTTTATTTATTTACTCATTTCTTCAATCATTGCTCAGTCATTTATTTTCTGTGTAATATTTTCTGATAAAATCTAAAACTTTTTCACTTATTTTTAAGTCTAAAGAGAACAAATGGACTGTTGTTTGTTTTTTTTTTTATATTATTTTGTGCTGTATTTGGTTACTGACTAGCAATAGATAACAATTTAAATACAAGGGGTTTTCATGTGAATTTCTAAACTAGTAGTGTTTTGAAATTAATGAATTAATAATCGTAATAACCACTGATTATTTTTCAGACAATAATCGTACAACCAAAATCTATAATCGTTGCATCCATAGAAAAAGAGTAAGAGGAGACGTAGAAAAGACATGAAGTGGATGAGATCTACAAACCGGTAGCTAGTGTATTGTTGGTGTGAATGACATCAGATCTGCTTTTATATTTGCTGAGGTCTACATGTGGAGGTCTAGCTGGTTTAAAAGGCACAGGACCCAGGGATGTCAGATCAGGAAGAGTTTTGCGTTGCCTTTCGGGACGAATGAATCCACTGAGCTTCATCGCAGTGATGAAGGCTACGACACAATCACACACAAGACATATCACCGTCAAGATTAAATGAATAATACATTTAAATCTTCTTCAAAATTGATCACATCTTACATTAATGTCACTTTCTTTTTGGAAATCCTATACCTTCATACACTGTATGTGACTTAGTATTGCAGAAATCAAAGACGTCAAGCATTTTCCATTCATTTTGCCTGATATATAACAATAAAGATAAATAAACAATGGATATTTTAAAGTAAACTGAATCTATTATTAATGTAAATTAATGCAAAATGCTTCAATGTGATAAACATTTTGATAGTAAATGGTGTTTAACTTGTTGTTGACCTTTTTAAACCCCTAACATGGCTGATAATAACAACAGAGAAGACATTTTCTGAATTTTTGTGCTTTATCTCCAGATCCTAACCTCAAAGCAGACTCCACATGGCATGTCTGAGACGCATCTTCTCCATATTATTGTTTAAATACAATACATTCATACAGTTTCCAAACTTACAGTGTGAGTTTCCAGTAATCTTCAATGGAGAATTCTCTGGACGACAGACTTTAGACTTCGCAGGAGACGACGGACACTCATTAGGAAGCACTAGAGCTTTACTACAGCTGAAGCCCTTTGGTCTGCCGCACACCATCAGGTTCTTGTGGTTGAGCTTTCTTTTGGCTTTCTCTAATGTGCTCAAGACATGCTGGTGGTCAAAGAAATGCGTAACACTACTGGAAGACGAATCAGTCAACGATTCATTCGGTGAGTTCTCTAAGCTGGCACATGGGGATGCAGAATTTGATGCTGTACTCTGGGGGAGATCAACGGCTTCTGTATTCGCAGGCTCTTCTGAATTAAAAATACTGCTGTGTTTTACTAACCCCAGACCATTTTTCCCGTTTTTCCCATATTCCTTGGTGCATACTGACACTTTGGTCAAACTGAAAGGCGTGGGGATTGGTTTCTTGATGAATTTCAGAGGAGAGATGACTCCCTTTGGAGGAGCTGGAGCAGAAGAATCATCCGAAACCGGCAACACAAGAGGCAAACGCCGGATTTTGAGCGACTGTCTGTTCTGGCCATCTCCGCTGCTGCTGACTTCAGATAATGTTTTTGGGAATGATATAGGACGTTTTCCCGAGTACGCTTTTGGGTCTGATTGGGCTTGATTTGGGGTTTTGAACTCCACAGCTGAACATGAGCTCAGTGTTATCGGAGCAGAACAGCTGACCGTGTATGTCGGGAGGCGTTTGGGTTTCTCAGGAAGCACAGGTCTGTATTTGCCCTGGATCTCCTCCTGGAACTTTGCTCTTATGGATTTGAAATTGGTGCACACTTCCTGTAGTCAACAACAAAAATCAGTTCATTACAAATTAATACTTTGGTTCACACACATTTATCACCCTGGAGTATGCATAATATATAGCTTCAGCATCGATATCGCAATATGCATGTTTGCAATAGTTACATTGCAGGATATGCAATGTTGAATTGGGATTATAGTCGAACAGTTGAAAACACATGATATTTGTGTAGTCGTTGCAAGATTGCAAAGTGAAACTTTATCATTTGGATGTGTTTTAAAGGCATTTCAAGAGAGTTTAAAGCATTTGGAAACAAAAAATACAACATTTGTAACTTTAACGAAGAATAATTTTACTTAATTATTAATACGATGTGTGATTTAATATATAATTATTCAATTTCTGTACTTGAATAATGTTTGACTCTCTGGAAACCATTAAGCACTGTTTATTTGACTATTTTCTTTGCTCTGTTATAATTAGTCTTGCTTGCAATTTATTTATTATTTTTCAATGCATGATTCCACCGATAATAAAATCACGCCAATCAATTTAAATTCAAGATTTTTTTCTAAACAGAGCTATTCAAGCCGTCTGGTGAAATTGAATTTATACTGCAATATTAATCGTTTTGTCAGATTTTTCCAATATTGTGAAACTCTACCATTTTAAAGCACAAAATTCATAACATTCTGTAAAAAAACGAACAAACAAAGCACATTTTATGGGTCAAAATTATACATTTTTCTTTTATGATAAAATAATTATAACATTAAGCAATTATCATGTTTCATGATGATATTTCATACATTTCCTATTGTAATCAAAATCTATATTTGAATAGTAATATGAATTGCAGCATATAAACTTATTTTGGACAAATTTAAAGGCTATATTTAGTCAATATTTAGATTATATTAGAGATTTCCAAACAGATAAATATTGACATCTCCTAACAACCCATACAGCAAATAATTATTTTATTTATTTATTTATTTATACATCAGGTGATGTATAATATTTCAATTTAAAACTTTAAACATTATGACTTTGTTTTTGTGGTCCAGGGTCAAATTTATCAAATTCAACAAACCACTGAACAGATATAAAGGTACAAAATTTGTACCCATAAGGGTCCCTTTTTGATTGAGGTAAAGTTGGATTGAATTGCTGCATATGAACCTAATTTGGACAACTTTAAAACTATTTTCTCAATATTTAGATTTTGTTTTAACCCTCATATTACAGGTTTTCAAACAGCCAAATATTGTCCTCTCCTAACAAACCAAACATCATAAAAAATGTATTTATTCAACTGTCAAGTAATGCATTTATATTTCACTTTCAAAACATTAAACTTTGTGACTCATGTTGTGGCACCTTATAATTGAAAACTGAAGAAGTATAAAGGTACAAAAGCTGTCACTGTACCAAACATTTGTATCTAAAAGGCCGTGTTTTGGTACCTCAGTATAACATATCAATACCTAAAGTTTCAAGAAGTACACCTTTTTACTTTTCAGGTACTAATGTATAACTATAAGGCACAAATATGAACCATTTAGGAACAAATGCGATCAACTTACCGTCCTAATGACAGGTTTTGTACTTTTATTTCCTAAGGAGAACTAAGAAAATACTACTTTTAGCTGAAATAAAACAATTGTGTGTATATAACGTTACATAAAATACATTTCACGTAAAGAAAATACACATTACTGGTACGATTTATACTGAATTTAAACCCCTCTAACGTTATTTACGTGAGCAAAAAAGTACACCTTTCGGCGTTTTAATAAGTTGTTTGCAATTTATACATATTTAAAAATTCTGTACCTGTTCCATATTCGTTTAATCTTCTCCTTGGCCACTTATAGATAACATAAACATGTCATAATATCTTCAAGACACTCGCACAACGAGTCGTGGTGGCGGAGCAAGCTGATAGTTTAAACAGCAAACGGACACAATTCTACCAATCCTTCTCTCATAAAGGCTTGGCTCATGAATATTAATTACGCTCCGTGCGTGCAGACTGGTACTCCGACCTGATTGGATAATATGAACACGTTAAAGCGTGAACACCTGTAGCGGGGAATTAAAGCATATGTATAACATTTTTAATATTATTAGACCACTTAAATACTTGGTTTGCCAATAGATAAACGCTGATAAATGTGCGTTGTCTTTGTATTTATTAATAAAATATGTTGTTGCCCTTTGCTTTTATGCAGAACTGGGACAAGAGAATGAGATGTTCAGTAATTTGAGCAATTAATTTAATCTGCAGTTAAATTAATCCATATGTAAATATCACATTGCATATAAAAATAAACAGTGTACAGCATTAAAAAACATTCACACATTATTATTTGGGAAAACAATGGATGTGTAAATATGACTGCTATGCATACTATAGTAAAGTGTATTATATTGTATATATATTATTATTGTATTTAAAACTCTTTCGTTAACGAATACTGTAATATTAACAATTGTGAACTGATAATCTGTAGTAAATACTGCAGTATATTTTAGTTTACAGTAAACTGTGGTCTGTTGTAATATGATATAGTTCTTTACTATCTATATTTATTTACATCACTGTAGTTATTATGTTACCATAATAATACCAGATTAATTTAAGTACTTGACTATAGTATGGTTTAAAAACAGTATAGTATTTACTTTAAATTGTGCAGTATATTATCTCTGGGTTGTGTTTTAGAGTTGAAGGGATGTCCATAAACTTATGCTAATTTTATATTTATACTATATTATGACCCATTTCATGAATAGAGCGGGAATATATTATATAAAGCATATAGAGGTGATGGTTTAAATACATTTTGTAATGCATATGTTTGCTTAGAGGAGGGTCATTCTGGGAAAACAAGTGAAAAAAGATCCAAGAGATCCTCCAAATTCTGTCAATCATTAATAGCAAACAGTGTTCGGACTGGACTGAGGTCTCAGATCAGATCAATCTCAATCCAGCGGTCTCAGCTATGCCTACATTTGTGTTTTCTGTTTGTGCGTTTCTGATTTGTTTCAGTCATTGTGTTTCTGCTGCTGGATATAGCAGTGATTTACAACACACTTCGAGAATCAGGTAATGTTTACTTTTGGAGATTTAAATATTGTGCTTTGATACTAAATTATGTGTGTGTGTTCAGGGCTAATGCTTCTTCAAGACACACCAGAGGAGTCAACACCCCCCCTCCTATTGACTGTAAACTAAAAAGCTGGACGGAGTGGTCACCGTGTCAATCATGCACAGAACGAACGGTAAACACTCTTTAAAATCATGGTCAATGCATATTAAATTCATAAATCTTTTGTAGGTGCACTGATTTTTTTAAAATTGAATTTAGTAATATTTTAATGTGGTTACAAGCAATTTATATGGCTAAATTTAAATTCAGTAATTTGCAACTTAATTTGTTTGTTTAATATTCAGCCATATAAATTGTTTGCAACCACTTACCTTGAATTATTGTTTTAAGTGAGTCAATTTTTTATTTATTATATATATTTTATTTACGATCTATGCGTCAAATCTAAAATAAAAAGTTAATATATGAAGGTAAAGTCCACTTAATTCCCATATACAACATAATTTATGGAAATATATGCAAATTTTATTCTGTATAACATTCAAGTTCATATTTGGATTCCACATATATTTAATTATATGCCAAACATGCAACATTTATTTCAAAATATTGCTAAATTGTGGTCACTCGTGCACAGAACAAATAGTAAACATACTTTAAATACATATTAAATGCATATTGAGATCAACAATTCTCTGTGAGTCTCTATTTGTGGTTAATATTGTATTGATAAATGTGTTAAATCTAAAATTAAATGTTAAAATATAAAGATAAAGCTGACTTCATTCCCATATAAAAACCTGATTTATGGAAATATATGCAAATTATATTCAGTAGGACGTTTAAGTTCATATTTGGATTCCACATATATAAAATATATGTCAAATATGCAAAAAAAAATTTAAATTATTGCTAAATTGTGGTCACTCGAGCACAAAACAAACGGTTAACACTCTTTAAAATCATAGTAAATGCATATTAAATTCATAAATCTTCTGTAGGGGCACAGATTTTTTTATTGAATTTAGTAATATTTTAAGGTGGTTACAAGTAATTTATATGGCTAAATTTACATTTTGTAATTTGCAACTTAATTTGTTTGTTTAAATTCAGCCCATATAAATTGTTTGCAACCACTTACCTTGAATTATTGTTTTGAGTGAGTCTATTTTTCAATTATATATATATATATATATATATATATATATATATATATATATATATATATATATATATATATATATATATATATATTTACGATACATGTGTTAAATCTACAATTAAATGTTAAAACATGAAGATAAAGTCAACTTAATTCCCATAGACAACATAATTTATGGAAATGTATGCAAATTAAATTCTGTATAACATTCAAGTTCATCTTTGGATTCCACATATATAAAATATATTTCAAATATGCAACATTTATTTCAAAATATTGCTAAATTTTGGTCACTGTGTCACTTCACATATTAAATTCATAAATTCTCAGTAAGTGTCTATTTTTTGTTCATTGTAATGTGTTGAATCTGAAATAAAATGTTAAAATATAAAGATGAAGCTGACCTAATTTTTCTATATAGAAATCTGATTTGTATAAATATATGACATACAAGTTCATATTTGGATTTTACATATTTATATATGCCATATATGTAACACTTATTATAAAATATTGAAAAAAATGGCTGTTTACTTTTTCTTTAACCATTGGAATTATACATACATGTTCACATACATGTGTGTTAAATTAAATTTAATATATATGTGATATATATATATATATAGCTGATTTAATATATTACATAACATATATGTACATTTTTTGTAATTACAATGGTTGAAAAAATATATAAACACATGTACTTTAAAGTTTTAAAAACATAATAAACAACATAATAAATACACAATGTCAGTCCAGGTGAAAGTTTATCTGAAAATGTTTATTATCCGATCAGAATCAAGTTTTCCAAAGCACCGTAGTATGAATTTAAATACTTGCTTTTTTTTTACTGCTGTATGTTTTTGATATTTTCTAGATTCGCTTCCAGTATTTGGAGCGATCTTCTCAGTTCGGGGGTGAAAGGTGTCTGCACAGTCAATGGGACAAAAAACAGTGTCCTGAAGAGGGCGAGTGTCAGGAACAGGAAGACCACTGTGGGGACATGTTTGCCTGCGGTCCAAAAGGTCAGTGTTTCTGCCTGTCTTTCATTTTACTTTTTGTCTGTGTGTGTGTATAATGAATATATATATTTATAAACTATATATGTATATACAGTTGAAGTCAGAATTATCAGCCCCTCTGAATTATTCGCCCCCTGTTTATTTTTTCCCCAATTTCTGTTTAACGGAGAGAAGTTTTTTTTTTTCAACACATTTCTAATCATAATAGTTTTATTAACTCATTTCTAATAACTGATTTATTTTCTCTTTGCCACGATTACAGTAATAAATATTTGACTAGATATTTTTCAAGACACTTCTATACAGCTTAAAGTGACATTTAAAGGCTTCACTAGGTTAATTAGGTTAACAAGGCAGGTTAGGGTAATTAGGCAAGTTATTGTGTAACTATGATCTGTTCTGTATAGACTATCGAAAAAAAATCAGTAATATTAATAATATTGACCTTAAAATGGGGTTTAAAAAAATAAAAACTGCTTTTATTCTAGCCGAAATAAAACAAATAAGACTTTCACCAGAAGAAAAAATATTATCAGACATACTGTGAAAATTTCCTTGCTCTGTTAAACATCATTTAGGAAATATTAAAATATACTTATATAATATTCAACTGTATATATATATATATATATATATATATATATATATATATATATATATATATATATATATATATATATATATATATGGCAACCACGAATTAATAAAGGGACTAAGCCGATATATTTATATATATATATATATATGTTTATATGAGCACTGTACAAGATATGTACAGTGCTCAACATCCCCTTTTTGAAAATGAATAGTTTCATCCATTTCTCAGTAGACAATTGTTTCTGCATTTAAACCAAACCATTTTATTAAACAGTTATGTACATTAAAATATGAGTTTGGTCACCGAACGTTGATAATACATTTAAACTCAAACAAGTTATTGCAACCAAACATAATTTTTGCAAATAAAATTTCAACTAAATTAGATTTTTTTCTGTGTTTCTCTTGATTTTTCTGCTATTATCATTTAATTTAATATTTTCCTCCAACAACAGATTTGCTTGACCGTGATTGTTATTTAGTTTTTTTTTGTTAGGTTAGTTTGAGTTTGGGCTTTAGAACTACACTGTAAATAATATCTGTAAATTAGGTGAAGCAGTGGCGCAGTAGGTAGTGCTGTCGCCTCACAGCAAGAAGGTCGCTGGTTCGATCCTCGGCTCAGTTGGCGTTTCTGTGTGGAGTTTGCATGTTCTCCCTGCGCTTGCGTGGGTTTCCTCCGGGTGATCCAGTTTCCCCCACAGTCCAAATACGTATCCGCTGCATAAAAATGTGCTGGGTAAGTTGGCGGTTCATTCTGCTGTGGCGACCCCAGATTAATAAAGGGACTACGCTGACAAGAAAATGAATGAATAAATGAAATAGCAGTTTTCCATATTTTTTGATTCATGTTTTTTTTTTTCCCCATTTATTTCTGCTTTTGAATTGCATTATGGGATGTTGATCTTTCTTCCAACTACCTTTAACCTTGAAAAAGTGACTTTTATTGTCATGTGGAATAGTCTGCAGTGTTTTGTTTCTCTAGTTATTATTTATAATAGGTTATAATATTGTTTTATACGACTAAAATGTCAATAAAAGTGAGTCAAGTTGAATTTTCAATATCAAAAGTCGACAGAGCAGAGATCAACATCCCATAATGCAACTCACAACCTGAAATAAACAAAAACTACACAAACTGTTCATGAACAGATATTGTTTGCAGTGTGTTCCAGCTTAATTGTGTTGTATATGCATCCTCACAGGACGCTGTATTGGAAAGTCGCTCCGTTGCAACGGTGAACCAGACTGTTTAAATCAGAAGGATGAGGCTGATTGTGAAGCGATAAACAGAGGAGAAAACAAATGTGAAGGCATGTTGATTATACCAGGAGCCGACAAAGCCACACTGGGGTAAAACATAGTCATTTCTTTTTATTTGTCTGAATAGTCAAATGGGGCGGCACAGTGGCTCAGTGGTTAGCACTGTGGCCTCACAGCAGGAAGGTATCTGGTTTGAGTCCCGGCTGAGCCAGTTGGTGTTTCTGTGTGGAGTTTGCATGTTCTCCCCGTGTTGGTGTGAGTTTCCTCCAGGTGCTCCGGTTTCCCCCACAGTCTAAACACATGCACTATAGGGGAATTGATGAATTAAATTGGCAGTAGTGTACGAGTGTGTGTGTGTGTGTAAGAGTGAATGGGTGTTTCATAATACTGGGTTGCAGCTGTAAGGGCGTCCACTGCGTGAAACATATGCCAGAATAGTTGGCGGTTCGTTCTGCTGTGGCAACTCCTGATAAATGAAGGGACTCAGCCGAAGGAACATGAATAAAATAAAATAAAATAAAATAAAATAAAATAAAATAAAATAAAATAAAATAAAATAAAATTAAATAAATATAATATAAAAATATATAAAAAATAAAAAAATAAATAAATTGAAATCAAACAACTAAATAAATAAACATACATTTCAATTAAAAAAACTTATAAGGCCAATATTGTTAGCCAAACCACTGTTATACAATGACTTGCCTAATTACACCAACTTTACCCTTTTTAACCTAGTTAAGCCTTTAAATTTGCATGTTTAAGTCTAATATTTTCATAATAGCAAAGACAAAATAAATCAAGCATTAGAAGTAGTTACTGTTTAAATTAGAACTGTTTAAATATGTGTTTTCTCTGTATAATGTGTATGTATTTAAGTCTTTAATAATTGTCTGTTTTCCTCCTCAGATATAACGCTTTAACTGGTTCTTTTGTGAGTCGAGTTCTGGACCCCAATTACGTGGGAGGCGTCTGTGAATACATCTATAATGGAGAATGGAGGAAACTTACATTCGATCCTTTCTGTGAGCACCTCAGTTATGACGACGCTGAAAAATATTACAGGAAACCGTACAACTTCCTCTCATTTCAGATAATGGTATGATGTGCTGTGTGATGCATTTGTTATTTCAATTTTTTCTTATTCTATTTTATTAAGGAACTATCACTGCCTGTTTGATTTATGCTTATGTAATTAATAAAACATTGAAAGTTCATTATTAACCGTATATGTATATTTCAAAAGTTCACACTTAGATATTGTTTGATAGTAATAGCAGGTTTGGCATGCTGTTTTGGCAGAGACCCCTGAGCTCGGACATAATTACAGTTTTTTACTTAAATTGCAGTAATTTATAATTTAAATCTTTATATCAAAAAAGTAAGAATGTACAGTAATTTTCTTTCATTCCACCCCCCACCCCCAACCCCCAAAGGGAATTTTTCAATTTAAAAATTGTTGAAATAAATTTTATTCATCTTTGCCCCCAAAATTTTTCATTTTTATATTTTAAAAATGACAAAATTACTGTAATATTTCTACTGTCTTTGCCCTAAAAAATGGTAGTTTTAAAATAAAAAAATGTCAAAATTACAGTAACTTTTCTTTCATCTTTGCCCCAAAAAAACAATGACTTTTATATTTTAAAAATGCCTAAATTACTGTAATTTTTCTTTTGTCTTTGCCTTAAAAAAGGACATTTTTAAATTTTTAAAATGCCAAAATTATTGTAATTTTTCTTTTATTTTTGCCCCCCCAAAAAACTGTAGTTTTTAAATTTTAAAAATGTCAAAATTGCTGTATTTATCTTTTATCTTGCCTTGAAAAAAAAGAAAAAATGTAAATTTTAAAAAGTCGAAATTACTGTAATTTTTCTTTTAATTTTGCCTTAAAAAAAGGAAAAATGTAAATTTTAAAAGTAAAAATTACTGTGATTTTTCTTTCACCTTTGCCCCAAAAAACAATAATTTTTATATTTAAAAAATGTTAAAATAAATGCATTTTTTTGCCTTAAAAAACTTTAATTTTCATATTTTAAAAATTCTAAATTACTGTAATTTTTATTTTGTCTTAGCCAAGAAGCTCATCTTTTTTTTGACACATTATGAATTTATTGTAATTTTTCTTTTGTCTTTTTTGACCCCCAAAACAGTTTTTATCTTTTCAATTTTATAGGTTATGAAATTTCTGTACTTTTTCTTTTTTGTTTTTGCCCCACAAAAAAAACAAAAAAATGGTAAATTTTTTATTTTATTTTACTTTTTTTATTTGAATTTACTGTCATTTTTCTTTTGTCATTTTCAGGCACAAGCCAGTACAGAAGAATCTTCAGATTATTATGAGGATGCTGTCAGCTTTCTCAGAGCAAAACACTCTGAAAATTCTTTTAACTTTGGTATAAAGCCACAAATCGGTTTTGTAGAATTCGGCGTGGAATTCAGCGCTGAATTCATGTTTCTCAACAACATATCAAAATACACGAACAAGGTGAGGTATTTACCAGATCAATCAATTTATTTAACTCTAGGATTTGTGTATTTACGAATTGTTTTTCGAATTTACGAATTGGATTTGTGTATTTATGAGTCCTGTTCTGAATTTTGTGATTAAATTTGTTACGGATTGTTTTGAATTGACAAATTGGATTTGTGTATTTACAAATCGCGTTTTGAATTGACAAATTGGATTTGTGTATTTACGAATTGTATTTCGAATTTATGAATTGGATTTGTGTATTTACGAATCCTGTTCTGAATTTTGTGATTAAATTTGTGTACTTACTTATGGATTGTTTTTAATTGACAAATTAGATTTTTGTATACTATGAATCGTGTTTTGAATTTTGTAATCGAACTTGTGAATTTACGGATCTTATATTGAATTGACGAATTGGATTTGTGTATTTACGAATCGTTTTGGATAATGCCTCAGAAACCTCATGTAATCAATTTTTCACTTTTTTTTTGCATGTTTAGGAGATGGGCTTCGTCCAGCTGATGTCAAAAATACAAACATCTCAGTTTAAGATGAGAAGCAAAGACCTGGTTCTGGATGAAGACATGCTCTGGGCTCTTTCTGATCTGCCCGATCACTACCATTTCGGCGCATATTCGCAGTTTTTTAATGAATACGGCACACACTACGTCACCGAGGGAACCATGGGTGGGCTCATGGATTACGTTGCTGTTGTGAACATAAATGAAATGGAAGAAAACCGTAAGTTAAATACACGATACATAAAAAATGACATTACAGATGAAGGACTGAAATGTACTGATCCATAATCACGCATGAACATTTAGAGTTTACTCGCTTCATTCGCGCGTCAAATTCGCTGAGCAATAGACGTGGATTGGCAAGATTATCGGGGCTTTGTTATTCAATGGCTAACATGGATTTCATTGCGAAAATAACTGTGTTTATGTGCTTTATGAAGGCTGAAAAACTGCGTCAAATTATTTGTAGCCATGTCTGAGTTCACTAGATCCTTTCAGAGGTGCACCAGCTCTGTGAGTTCATCAACTCCTCCAGAAACTGAACCTGGTTAACGGAGGCTTTCAGCGGTGCTTCTGGCTGAGCCCAGTTTGATCCACACCAACAACAGGCGCTACATCATAATCCAGCCCCTACAAGAGCAAGCTCCTGATTGGTTAACGCGGCGCGAATGTCAGCTAAAGTTCAAATTTTTAAACTCGTTAAGTCCGTCAAGTGCGCAAAACGCGCCACTTCATTCTCGCAGGATGTCTATTCACGTTGTTGCATTGATTTAACATGTAAATCACTCTGGCTTGATGCTTCTTCCGCGTCTGGTGTGAACGCAACATAAAGGTGAGAGTGAGGGCGAAGTTTACCTTGTTACTATGTATGATGTCAGCATGGTGACTAGCTATGTGCACTGTGATTGGCTGAAGGGGGCGTGGGGAGGAATCTCTGTCAGATTTATTCTTGGAAACTTTGTAGAGCTTAGTATTATGTTGACAGGGGCGCCGCTAGGAGGGGGAAGTTAGGATGATTCTAAGGGCCCACACACTTTAGGGTCCCCAGGAGTTACTATTATGCTGCGTTCACACCAGACGTGGAACGCGCGGATAAATCACGCGTAAATAGCCGCGTAAACATTTGAGATTGCTCGCTTCATTCGCGCATCAAACCCCGATTCATTCGCTCGTCAAACCCCGCTTCATTCGCGATTCAAACCCTGCTTCATTCGCGCATCAAGTCCACTTCATTTGCGCGTGAAATTCACTTCAGAATAGACGCGGATTCAAATGATGGGCAGGGCTTCTGTCTGCCCCCACAAAAGCAAGCTCCTGATTGGTTAGCGCAGAACGAATATCCGCTTAAGCTCAGATTTTCAGACTTTCGAACCCGAGCAATTCACGCAAAATGTGTGTTAAGCGCGGCAAACATGCTAAACGAACAATTCGGGCCTTTCGCGCCGTGCCATTCGTGCCATTTGCGCCACACAATTCGCGTCATTTGCACGTATCGCATCACAGGTTGTCTATTCGTGCATTTGCATTGACATGTAAATCACTCGCGCTTAATGTGCTGTCTGGTGTGAACACATCATTAGGGGCACCCCAATCAACCCCTAGCATGTATTGTTGTCTGCGACCCCTACACCCCCCAACCTCCAGCCCCAACACCCCCATCTCACTGTTCACTGTTCTTCCAACCCTGTTTGACACCATCCCCAAGTACCCACCCCTTCAATTGGACCCATGATGCCAGCCCCCCAACACCACTCTTCACTTTTGTCTTCCTCGCCATCCCCATCTCCCTCCTCTGGTCTTCATCTTTGTCCATGACACCATCCCCAAGCCTAAAGCTGCGGTCACACTGGACTTTTCTCCCCATAGACTTCCATTCATACGCACACAAATGCATCAGCTCGTGCGTCAAGTTTCTCTGATCGCTGCGTTGGAAAGTTCAAGCTTAGTGAACCCTAACCTGCGAAATCGCATCACTTGACTGTGTGAGACCATTTGATGATCAAAACATGACCTCTCTGGACAGAAATGTTAAATAAAATCGCTCGCTTATTTTAATTTCTAATCATCTTGTTTAATCCCGCCCCTTTTTGCAGCGCCGTATGATAGAATTTCGCACGAAGAATTAGCCCCTGAACTGTAGTCGCTGTTTTCATGTTTAAGCACAATTACATTTTATTTCTCTCTAGAAATGACTGGGCAGATGATAGGATCATGCATTGGTGGATCATTCGGGCTGGTGTTTATGGAGAAAATCAAAGCTACAGTGAAAGGAAAATCATGTGGAAAATTTACATCAAATGAGAAAAGTACGTGACCTTGAGCCCCATTCATTTTCAATTCTTCTTTAGTGTTTATCAATTGTAAATTATATTCCCTTTTATTATTATTTAATCTTCAACAGCTAGTGACGAGTCCCACAGTGCTATTAAGGATGTCTTTGGCTTTGTGAAGGGTGGAAACACAGCCTCCAGCGCTGGATCTTTGGGTATCAAAGATGCTAAAAGTTACAAGGATTGGGGAAAGAGTCTGAAATATAACCCGGCGCTAATTGAGTTTGAGGTGCGGTTTTATTACTAACCAAATTTCTTTGATGGTACTCTAGACTAGTTTTAAAGAGCAGAGCGCTCTAGTTTTTAACAACAAAAAGTGCTCTAGGCTACTTTTTAATAGCAATTGTCGCTCTAGGCTAGTTTTTAACAGCAGATGGAACTCTAGGCTAGTTTTTAAAAGCAGACAACGCTCTAGGCTAATTTTTAACAGCAGATGGCGCTCCAGGCTAGTTTGTAACAGTAGATGACACTCTAGGCTAATTTTTGACAGCAGATGGCGATCCAGGCTAGTTTGTAACAGTAGATGACGCTCTAGGCTAATTTTTAACAGCAGATGGCGCTCCAGGCTAGTTTGTAACAGTAGAAGACGCTCTAGGCTAATTTTTAACAGCAGATGGCGCTCTAAGCTAGTTTGTAACAGTAGACAACGCTTTAGGATAGTTTTTAACAGCAGATGGCGCTCCAGGCTAGTTTGTAACAGTAGACGACGCTCTACGCTAATTTTTGACAGCAGATAGCGCTCTAGGCTAGTTTTTAAGAGCAGAGCGCTTTAGTTTTTAACAACAAAAGGTGCTCTAGGCTAGTTTTTAACAGCAGATGGTGCTCTGGGTTATTTTGTAACAGCAGATGGCGCTCTAGGCTAGTTTTTAACAGCAGATGGCGCTCTAGGCTAGTTTGTAACAGAAGATGGTGCTCTTGGCTACTTTTTAATATAAGACTGCGCTAGATTGCACTAGATTTTTACATCAGAAGGCGCTCTAGGTTCCTTTTTAATAGCAGACGCGTTCTAGGCTAGTTTTTAACAGCAGATGGCGCTCTAGGCTAGTTTTTTATAGCAGACGACGCTCTCGGCTACATTTTTAGTACAAGACTGCGCTCTAGGCTAGTTTTTAAACAGAAGATGGTGCTTTAGGATATTCTTTAACAGCAGACGACGCTCTAGGCTAGATTTTAACAGCAGACGGCGCTCTAGGCTAGTTTGTAACAGCAGATGATGCTCTAGGCTAGTTTGTAACAGCAGATGGCACTCTAAGCTATTTTTTAAAAGCATATGATGTTCTAGGCTATTTTTAAAAAGCAGACGATGCTCTAGGCTACTTTTTAACAGCAGATGGCGCTCTAGATTTTAACAGATGGCGCTCTAGGCTTCTTTTTAATAGCAGATGGCGTTCTAAGCTAGTTTTTAACAGCAGATGGCGCTCTAGGCTAGTTTTTTTATATAGAAGAAGAAGCTCTAGGCTACATTTTAGTAGCAGACAGCGCTCTAGGCTGGTTTTTAAACAGAAGATAGTGCTTTAGGATATTCTTTAACAGCAAACGGCGCTCTAGGATATTCTTTAACAGCAAACGACGCTCTAGGCTATTTTTTAACAGCAGATGGCGCTCTGGGCTAGTTTGTAAAAGCAGACACACTCTAGTCAGAATGAAGTCTATGGCTCTTCTAATAGTTATGGAATTCTGGTAGTTCCGGTGGTAATATTTATTGGTTTTGGTCATTCTGTCATAGATTCTACCAATATATGAGCTGCTGCGTTTAAGCACCGCCGCTGAGCAGCTGAGCAGTAAGTTGCCCCATGTGAAGATGGCGTGGGAGGAGTACATGCAGAACTTTAACCCATGCCGCTGCGCCCCCTGCTTGAATAATGGCGTTCCAGTGCTCTCCGGGACAGCCTGCAGTTGTTTATGTAAAAACGGATACACTGGTGCTGCCTGCGAGGAGACTGAGAGGAAAGGTAACGCAGCCCATAATATTCACTTCATAAATGTTTGTGGATATAAACTGTAGTGATTTAAAATAAATACTATAGTGTATTGACTGATACTTCAGCAAATTGTACTCTATGCTGTAATATTTGCAACACTTTGTTAGTTATTACCAGAGTATGCTGTAGCATTCACTATGGTGAACAGATCAACTGTAATAGCCCACTTTTGTTTTTACTATAGTATAGTATAGTATTTACTATATATATACTGTGGTGTATCGTAGTATAATATACTATCGTCCAAAAAATTAGTCCAGATTCGACACACAGGCATTTGTATCTCCGCCCTCTTTTAAAAAGAGCACAATCTAATTTGAATTTAAAGCGACTGTCACCAAAACGTCACAATTTGACTTGCCTAGTTAACTGAACTAACCTATTTAAGCCTTCAAATGTCACTAATTTCTCGCAAAACAACTAGTAAAACATTTTGTACGGTCCCCGTGGCAAAGATAAATGGAATTAGTCATTATAAATTAGTTCATAAAACTATTATGTTTAAATATGTGTTTCAAACTACACTTGGGAAATATTAGAAAACTATTGAAGGGATTATTTTGTCTTCAACTGTATCAAACGAGGACTTTATGAGTGTTTGTCTTCTGACAGGTCCCACAGATGGAGTGTGGAGCTGCTGGAGCTCCTGGTCTTCATGTTTATTTGGAAAAAAGACACGAAGTCGAGATTGCAACAATCCCTCGCCAAAAGACGGCGGTCTGCCTTGTCTAGGAAAGAGCACTCAGAAGAAATCCTGCTGAAATTTAAATAAATGTTTTGGATTTACCTTTACCAGCTATTGTTGTGTTATAGGTAGTTGTTCTATCTATGGCTTTTTTTCAAAATAAAAGCCTTTTATTTTGAATAACATCTCAAATTATATCAACTGAATACTAAAAGCAATATGTTTGTATGCATATTTGGGAATTTTCTGTCCTAAAAATATTAAAGCGTCCCACTATATATATTTTTGACTGTCTCCAGTGTAACACCTTGTCCTAATCACACGTGATGCATTTACATACTATCTTTTCCTTGGTTAAAATTACTTTTGTCCTAATCATCTGTGACTGTCAAGCAAAACTTCTTTTTCAGAAACCATTTCCTTTAAACGAGATGTAGCAGTGGAACTACAATATAAACTACTATGACAATAATCACACTCAGGTACTGATTATGGGCTTTATTCAGTGCTTAATGCTCCCAATGTGAGTTAAAAGACCAACAGCATAAACTACTATGACAATGATAACCCTCAGGTACTGATTATGGGCTTTATTCGGTGTTAAATGCTCCTAATGTGAGTTTAAACACATTTTACGTTTATTTATACATACATTTAACATTTATTGCCATACTACCAAAAGCAGCAGCAAATAGATCACCCCATCTTGAAAATAAAATAACTAGTAGATGTTTTGAAAATGAAATTCAGAAACTGCGATTCAGTGCAAACCAACAACATCATTTTTTAAACTCATTTTAAGGTCAATATTATTAGCCCCCTTAAGCAATATTAGTTTTGGATTGTCTCCAGAACAAACCACTGTTATACAATGACTTGCCTAATTACCCTAACTTTACCCTATTTACCCTAGTGAAGCCTTTAAAGCTGAATGCTAGTGTCTACAAGTCAAATATGTGCTGTCATCATGGTGAAGAGAAATCAGTTATTATTAGTTATTAAGTTCAAAAATGTGATATGGGGAAAAAAGCATACAGAAGGGCTAATAATTCTGACTTCAACTGCATTAGGACACGATGCAATCAGTTTCTACCCAGTAAATAACACACTTTAGACACAATCCGCGGACTCCTCCTGAGCTCCAGCACATGCTACTCCACCGTTGTGTGGGGCTGGATTATTACACTGACGGGTGCGATGTTGGATCTTTCCTGAGCAGCTCGACCATGAAGACCAGCAGCTCCAGTTTCCATCTATTGCCAAACCTGTACATGTTCGGATAATAAGAGAAAACATGACAACGATTAGCATTTGTTTGCAATTGACGTTTTTGTCCTAGGCATGGACTTAAATTAGCAGTTTTATGTATTGTGTGATAAGTGTTTTTGTTTTATCACCATGCATTTATGTATTTACTATAATCAAATGACAAAAAACTAATTATGCAAGGGGTTTGTAATGGAGCATCTGTTGAGGCTGAGAGTAAATCTGGCATTATTCTCTCTTCTGGCTGCCGTTCTCAGTCTCACACCATTGGTTTCCTCTTTCTGAAAGTCTTGATAACACCATTATGAAGTTTTTTCTGTTATTAATTCAGCTAATTGGATTGTAAAATAATTATTTGTTGTACCATCCCATTCACTGCGCTCTAAGTTTACCCAACCATGATGCCTTGCGCTACTGAGAACCCTGGAAAAGTGAATAGGGTCTATTGGATTTAGCTAAACAGTTTCTAATAGCGGCGCACACTGACAAACCTTTTCTTTGAGTTATCTCACAACTCACTCCTTTGACACCCGCTGGACAAATACAAGTACATCTCATGCCTATAACGAGAAGAAATGGAGACAGAGAAAACAATGATCTGTCTGCTGAAATATTGATCACATATATTATATAAAATAATACATATCAAATGTTTTGAAATACTATTTATTGGCCTATTGTTCATTAACACTGTACAGAATAAGGCTCAATTTGTTAACATCAGTAATTTAACTAACAATGTAAATGAAAACAATCAGTCTGTATTCATTTCTTAGGTAATGCCTAATAATGGATTAAAAATAAAATTCAGTTGTATTTTTTTTTTTTTTATCACAGTAACTATAGTTAAACCCCTACAAGTTCTGAAAGAGATCAAGCCTCAGCCAGGTAAGAAAAAGTAATGCAAAAGTAACTCAAAAGTAATGTAACCTTACTTACCATAAAAGTAACTAAGCAGTGCAACTAGTTACTTTATTGGGGAGTAACTCAATATTGTAACGCATTTAGTTGTTATTTTGAAAGATAATAATAAACAAATATATTTGTAAAACAAAAATAAATAGAAAAAAATAATTGCTTAATTTATTAATTAATAATAACAACAATAAAAAAATAAATAAACAATAAATAAATAAATAAACAAAAATAATAATAAATAAATAAAAATAGACAATAACAACAATAACAACAACAACAACAACAATAAATAAAAAACAATAAATAAATAAATATTAACAAACAAATAAACAATAATAACAAATAAGAACAAATAAATAAACAATAATAACAATGGAAAAAATTTATAAATTAGTTGATTAATTTGTTAATTAATTAATAATAACAATCAATAAATAAACACTTAAATAAATAAACAATAAATAAAAACAAATAAATAAATAAAAATAGACAATAACAACAAAAAATAATAATAAAAAATACAAAAATAAAAAACAAAAAATAAATAAATAAATTATAACAAATTAATAAAAAATAATAACAAATAATACATAAATGAATTGTAACAAATAAATAAATACTAATAACAACTTTATTAGGGAGTAATTCAATATTGTTACAAATTAGGAGGTTATTTTGAAAGATAACAGTAAATATTTACATTTGTAAAAAATTTATTTAAAAAATAAGTAAATAAATAAATAAAAGTCAATTAATTAATTGATTAATTTATTAAGGAATAATAATAAAAAACAATAAATAAATAAATAAACAAGAAATAATAGCAAATAAAAATATAAATAGACAATAACAATAAAGAAAAACAATAATATTTAATAAATAAATAAAAACAATAAATAAATAAATAAGTTATAACAAATAAATAAACAATAATAACAAATAATACATAAATAAACGAACAACAATAAATAAATAAAATAATAATAAATCATAACAAATAAATAAATAAATAATAACAAATAATACATAAATAAATAATTAAACAACAAAAAATAAACAAACAAATAACAAACTATAACAAATAAATAATAATAATAATAATAATAATAATAATAATAATAATAATAATAAATTAATTAATTAATAATAACAAATAATATTGTAAGGCATTTCTTTCAAAAGTAACTTTCTCCACACTGGCCACTAACATGTGGCACAATAACACATATGATCAGCTATTTTGGATGTCAGTAGATAAGCTCAGATAATCATTATAGTTAATGTAAACGCCCCTGATTATTCAGTCTTTGGTGATTAGGGTTGTGTGGTTGCTCTCACCCTTGAGCACTGCCAGGCCATTATTAAGACACGGTGAACATCTGCAGGCGCTGCTTTCACTCAGATACTCTGACAGAGCTCTCTTCAGGTTTTTCTTTAGGATGTTTGCGTTTGCCTCTCGAGGTGGCACCAGCTCATAAATCGGTTCGATCTGCAGACAGGATAATAAAGTTGAACACTCAAATGTTCACTCAGTGTTTGTTGTTTGACTGACAGTAAGTGCACTTGTTTGAGCTCTTCCAACATCCCGGACTGAGTGTAATTGTTCACCTTCTTGCTTATAAACTCAGGATTGTAGAAGACGGCTTCTCCCCACATCTGCATGATGTCTGGAGTCGGCAGCTGTTTCGCCGCCAGACGAGAGACGGTCTCACTGTCGCCCCCTTTGACCACAATAAACACATCTTCCACCATATCCCTCTCCTTTGTGGAATCTGAAAGACCAAAACAGGATTTCGCATTAATAATGAGCTCTATCATTTATTGTTCATGCAGAAATTCACTCAAGTGGAGAAACAGCTTGACTGTGTTTTACATTTTCAACAACTTTTAAACATAATAGTATTAGTAACTAATTGCTTCTGTCTTTTTAGTAATTATTTTGCAATATAATAATAAATAAATATATTTGTAAAAAAATAATAAATCATACATAACAAATGAATAATAAATAAATAAATAAATATTAATAATAACAAATAACATTGAATGATCACAAATAAATAAATAAATAAACAATAAATTTATTATTATTAACAAATAAAAAACAATGCAATAAATAAATAATTAAATAAACAATAAATAATAACAAATAAATAAATAATAATAGCAAAATAAATAATAATAATAATAATAATAAATAACATTAAAAATAATAAATAAATAATAAAAAATAAATAAATAAACATTTAAAATAATACAAATAAATAAATATTTTAATTAATAATAATAACAAATAATAAATAAGTAAATAAATAAACAATAAATAACAAAAAATTATAACAAATAATAATTAAAGAAAAAAAAAATAAATAACAACAAAAATTATAAATAATAATAACAAATATTTCATAAATAAAAGAATAAACCCTAAATAACAAATAAATAAATTATAATAAATATATAAAATAACTTAAATAAATTTATAATAATACAATTAATAATAATAATAATAACAAATAAAAAAATAATTAATTAATTGTAAAAAATAGACTATTCTGTGTTTACATTTAGCAATTCCAGCAGATGCTTCTGTCTAAAATGAATAACAGTTGTGAACTATGGTGATTATCATATTAAAATATGCAATATCCTACATGCATCTTGAAATTTAGAGGGTTTTCAGTAAAATAAGTAACTTCTGTAATGTATGATATATATCAATCTACTGCAATGTCTGCAATCGGGTCACTCGAATTAAATTTAGATTATTCCATAAAAAAATAAAAATATATAGCAAAGCTGAAGTGGCTGAACGTGTTTTCTGCTGACCTCCGATCTCTTTCAGCAGGCCTTCACAGCTTCCACCTGAAAGTCCAAGTCCCACATAGATCTTTTTAACCTGGACTCCAACCTTAAGCCCAACCTGCACACAATTCTTGGTTTCATCAAGTGAGTAGCCTATAATGAAGAAAAAAACATCACATTCAGTATAAGCACAACTTTTAAAATCACAGGCCACATGAAACAAAAATACTACAGTAATTCAGAGCCAATACTACAGTGTTTATGAATCATACTACAGTAAAGTACAGTATATTATACAGTATATATAATACTATTTACAACACTTTGTTTGTAATGAATGCTCCAGTATACTGTAGTATTGACTATCTCGTTGATTGTAATAAATACTGTAGTGCACTTTAGCTTTTACTACAGTAAACTCTGGTGGATTGTGGTATAATATAGACTCTATAGTCATTTGTTTAGATTACTATAGTTGCAGTGTTAATATAGCCACTATAGAATTACTGTAACAGATTAATTCAAGTGCTTTACTATAGTATGGATCAAAAACACTACAGTATTTACAATAAATTACTTTATAACTATTATAAATTAGTATTTATTTATGATCTTATTATTTTACTTTATTTTCCTACCAGATTTCTCGAACTTCTCGTCGTTGAGGATAACGGTGTACTCAAATTCTCCACCCAGAGTTGCCTCCTTGATGAAATGTGTGCCGTAGTCTTGGTAGATCTGCCGGTATTCTCCGTATGAGTACTCCAGCGGCAGCGCGTTCAGTCGGGACACAAACTCAGGGTGTAGCATCAGGTTTTGTGGTTTTAAAGCGTAGCGAGCGACCTCAAGCTCAGAGTGAGCACGGATGAACTTGTTTTTCTGAGGAAAACACAGAACAAAAAATCCTGCATATAACTTGTACTGTACATAAAGGAGAATAAATAAAGGAGATCAAACAATAAATAAAGTAATTTAATTAAATAAAATTAAATAATAAATTATTAAAAGATAACTTATTAAAAAATTAAATTCAACAATTATACTACACTATATAAAATAAAATAAATTAAAATAAAATATAAAATAAAAAAATACAAGAGAAGCAACTAAGCTTTTTATAGAGAGCAAACAATAAAATAAAATAATAAAAGATGATAATAAAAAAAGAAAAACTCAACAATCAAACCTAAAAAAAAAAAAAATTTAATTAAAAATACAAGAGAAGTACCTGAGCTTCAACATAAAATAAAAAACAAATAAAATAAAAATAATGAAATATTAAAAGATAACTTATTCAATTCAACAAAGAACTAAAATAAAATAAATTTAAATAAAATAAATAATAATTAAAAATACAAGAGAAGCACCAGCAAAGGGGGAATAAAGTATAATAATAAAAGATGGAAAATAAAATAAATAAAAATAAATATTCAACAATCGAACCTAACTAAACTAAACTAAATTAAAATAAAAAAGTAAATAATTAAAAATACTGGAGATTTACTTTTTTTTTTTTTTACAATAAAATAAAATAAAAAATAAAATAAAATACAATAAAAGCTCCAGAGCTTCATATATGGAGCATAAATTAAAAATGACAAAATAAAAATAAATAAATAATAAAATATAAAAAAATGGCTTCTTATAAAAGATAAAAATTCAACAATAGAACCAAACTAAACTAAACTAAAATAAACTATAATAATAATAATAATAATAATAATAATAATAATAATAATAATAATAAAATAAATAATAATAAAAAAACACAAGAGAAGCATGTGAACTCTAAATAAAAAATTTACAGAGAAAAAACTAATTTACACCTGAGCTCTATTTAGGGAGCATTAAATAAAAACTAAACTAAACTAAAATAAAATGCATTATTAAAATAAAAGTGAAGCACTTGAACTCTGTATAGGGGGCACAAAATAACAAAAAATAATGAAATATTAAAAATGTACTTATTCAAAATAAAATATACAACAGATTTACAAAGAAGTATTGAAATAAAAAGCTTGTCAAATAGCACAAACTGACAAAAACAATGCATTGAATTAACAACTGCTTGCATTTTAATGACATGAATTGCCAGGGTTTGTATTTTTATGCACCGAAATTTAACATAGCTGTTTATTTAAGTTGTGAATATTTAAAAGTATTTATATTAAATTATAATATTTAATTAATATACAATTTAATATTATACAATCATAAAATTAATCATTATAAATGATATTTAATAATTATAAGAATTTGACAACCAAAATGTAAACAGTCTAGTTTCTTCAAACCCATTGTCTCATTTTCTTTAATAAATATTAATATAGTTCAATCTTCAGTATTATTAGCCACAGAAGAGCACTCACCGTCCCCGAATATGTGCGCATCTTTTTGACCGATCGCTTGTATTTGTGGTCATTATAGGCAAAGCTGAAGTCAAAGGCATTGGGGTAAGCAATCCCAATCGAGACGCTGGTTTTGGACAGAGTTGAATGACTTTCACTCTTGAAGTATTCGCTGTAGGAATCGTACTCCTTCATGTTGAAATCATACGAGCCCTTTGTCTGGAAGTTACAAAGACACATAATTTACATTCACACACAGATCTACCATAACAACAGAAGTTTACATGGTTTGTGGTCAGCAAAGTTAACAATCATTCATTCATTTTCCTTTTATTAATCAGAGGTTGCCACAGCGGAATGAACCACCAACTTAACCAGCATATGTTTTACACAATGCCCTTCCAGCCGCAACCCAGTACTGGAAAACACCCATACACACTTGGACTGTGGACACCTGGAGGAAACACAGGGAGAACATGCAAACTCCACACAGAAATGCCAACTGACCCAGCTGGGACTCGAACCAGCGACCTTCTTGCTGTGAGGCTACAGTGCTAACCACTAAGCTATTGTGCCATCCCGGGGTTAAATTGTGAAGTAAAAAAAGTCACATATATACCTCAGCATAGAAACAACATGCCGCTTACCTCTATTGTGTACTGTTGTAAATTAAACGGCTTCCTGAAGCGAACATCTTGGATAAAATGAGGCAGGCAGCCGCCAGCGTAATATCGGTTATCAAGCACCACTGCTTCCATTTTACCATTCAAAATGTTGAATCTGTGAACAAAAAAATAAACGATGTCCTCAAATTTAGGGATTCAACATAATTTAGATTTAGAAGAGCAACAAAAAGTCTTTAATACCAACCCAAGATTAATGAAAATGCATATTTTAGGCAATATATTTGGCGACATGAAATACTGTACGTTGCTAAAAGATGTTTTGATGCATGTTTCAGATGACAAATCCACTAGAGGGCGCTATTTATATTTTAGTGAATCTGTAATATGTTGGTTATGGTGTGTTTTATTGCATGTTTGATGACAAATCCACTAGAGGGCGCTGTCTATATTTTTGCGAATCTGTAATATGTTGATTATGGTGTGTTTTGTTGCACATTTATGACGACAAATCCACTAGTTGCTGTCTAAATTTTTGTGAAACTGAAATATGTTAGCTAACGTGTTTTGTTGTACGTTTTAATGTCAAATCCACTAAAGGGGGCTGTTCATATTTTTACAAATATGAAATAGTTTAGAGTGTGTTTTGTTGGACGTGTCTGATGTCAAATCTATTAGATGACGCAGTATACTGTATATTTTAGTGAATCTGAAATACGTTTATTAGGGTGTTTTGTTGCATGTTTCTGATGTCAAATCCACTAAAGAGAACTATATATATTTTTGCGAATCTGAAATATGTTAATTAGGGTGTGTTTTGTTGCGCGTTTCTGATATCAAAACCACTAGAGGGCACTGTTTACATTTTTGTGAATCTGAAATACGGTAATTAGGGTGTTTTGTTGTACGTTTTAATGTCGAATCCATTACATGGCGCTGTCTATATTTTATGCGAATTTTAAATTTGTCAATTAGGATGTTTTGTTGTACGCTTTAATGTCAAATCCACTAGAGGGTGCTGTCTACATTTTTGCGAATTTGATGTATATTATTTAAGATGTTTTGTTTTACGTTTTAATATCAAATCCACTAGAGGGTGCTGTCTACTTTTTTGCGAATTTTAAATACGTTAAATAGGGTGTGTTTTGTTGCACGTTTCTGACGACAAATCCACTAGAAGGTGCTGTATATATTTTTGCAAATCTGAAATACGTTACTTAGAGTGTGTTTTGTTGTACGTTTTAATGTCAAATCCACTAGAGGGCGCTGTCTACATTTTTGCGAATTTTAAATGTTAATTAGGGTGTGTTTTGTTGCGCGTTTCTGAGGTCAAATCAACTAGAGGGCGCTGTCTACATTTTTGCGAATTTGAAATGTTAATTAGGGTGTGTTTTGTTGCACGTTTCTGAAGTCAAATCAACTAGAGGGCGCTGTTTACATTGCTGCGAATTTAAAATATGTTAATTAGGGTGTTTTGTTGTACGTTTTAATGTCAAATCCATTATATGGCACTGTCTATATTTTTGCGAATTTAAAATATGTTAATTAGGGTGTTTTGTTGTACGTTTTAATGTCAAATCCATTATATGGCACTGTCTATATTTTTGCGAATTTAAAATATGTTAATTAGGGTGTTTTGTTGTACGTTTTAATGTCAAATCCATTATATGGCACTGTCTATATTTTTGCGAATTTAAAATACGTTACTTAGGGTGTGTTTTGTTGTACGTTTTAATGTCAAATCAACTAGAGGGCACTGTCTTTATTTTTGCGAATTTGAAATATATTATTTAAGGTGTTTTGTTGTACATTTTAATGACAAATCCACTAGAGGGCACTGTCAATATTTTTACGAATCTGAAATACATTAAATAGGGTGTTTTGTTGCGCATTTCAGATTCACGTTCTTTTTGTACACGTCTTCTTGCCACTGTGTAGTTTTACATGATTTGTATCTCTTGCTTCACCAGACTCGAACCTAGCCCTCTGCAGCACACAACCCTGTTATTTCATTAATTATTTGCACAAAAATAATCCTTTATTCGTGGATAATAGTTATGAATAGAATGAACAAAGAATAATCCTTTATTCACGGATGTCCTTGTAAATGTCACTATTGTAAAAAGGTTCATTTTCTTATATTTAATAATAATGAAAAGCACTGAGCATCCATCAATGATGTGCATTTTCTAGGTGCGACAGAGATGGTTAAGTCGTACAGGAGTGTATTAAACACACACACCCTTTAGCAAGATTCTCGATGCCGTAATACTCCTCGGTGGGCTGATTACAAGCTTTGTAGACTTTCTTACAGTCCTGCTCATCAGATCCGTCTCCACAGTCATCATCTCCATTACAGCGCAGATTCTCCAGCACACAGCGGCCTGACACACAACACATAGAAATATAACACGTGCTTAATTGCCTCCTACAGGAAAACATACTAATTTAAAAGTCCCATGAAATTAAAATCGTTTTTTTTTTTAGATGTCACTATCGGTTTTGTTAGTTTTTAAGATATCTACTACCTAGTGAACTCCAAAGCAGTGCCAAAATTTGTGTTTACAAGATATAAAACTGATATAAACATGTAAAGCTAAGTAGTTTGTGGTCTAAGCTTTAGTTTGTCACTTCCGCTTGAATGGGTTTTATTTATTTATTTATTTATTTATTTATTTTTATTATAGTTTTGAAACATTACATAAAGTAAAAATACAATAATTCAGATATATATTATATCCATAAACATTACTTTAGTTACAAGAACCAAAAATTATGAAGTAAATATATAACAGGAGAAAAAAAATTTTATAAAAAATTGCAAAAAAAAAAGAAAAAAAAATTAATAAATAAGATAAAAAAATAAAAATATTACAAAATACTTCTATACATATAAACTAAAATAATAACTTAGAATACAATCATCGACTACAGCGGGGGATCAGAACTAGAAAAAAATTCCTTCATGAAAACTAACATTAAATCATTCTTTTTGTTTTTAATTTGCATTAGAGACTTTTTCAGATTTTCCATTTCTAATAAAAAAATATTACATTTTGGTACACGTTTCGCAAATTTCTGTTTATTAATAAAATATTTACCTTGTAAAATGTAGAAGTTAACAACATACTCGATTGTTCTTTTTGTGTGTGAAAAAGTGCAAATCACATCTTTTAAAGATAGCCTGTAATTAACATTTCTTTGCCCAAATAACACGTCACTAACATCATTCCAAAATTTAAGAGAGGCATCACAGTTATAGAAAAGATGAGATAAGTCTTCCTCATGTATATTACAAAATGTGCAAGTACTCTCAATATCCATGAATTTAGATAAAGTTGCTTTGCAAGGATACATTTTGTGAAGTATTTTAAAGTGCACTTCTTTAACCTTATTTAAAAGGCAAAATTTAAAGGGTATTGACCATGTAGCTTTCCAATTAATATTAATAATTTTTTCATTCCAATAATATTTCCCTCTAGGGGATATTTTGTGTTTAGATTGAAAGACTTGTCTAATTTTTTTATTATTATATGATGGAGAAAGTATGTCAACACCGTCAATTTTTAATTCTGGGAGTATCTTTTTAATGCCTCCATAAGAAAGGTGATTATTAATTAGTTGTATTAAGCCAGCTGGAATAGCCTTAACCACTTGGTGAAATTCTTTAAAAGGAATTGGAAAGTTATGTATCCTCATAAAATCTTCATAAGATAGTATGTTTCCATTATCATAGAACAATAAACCTGTAACAAAATATGTTTCTTTGATACCATTTATGTAAAAATAAAGATTTGTTTCTAGAGGTAATGAGATAATTATTCCATAAGAGGACTTTATGAGGAGAAAAGTTATGCTGAAAACAAATTTTCCAAGCCAATAATACTTGCTGGTGAAATTTGGACAATTTAAGTGGCAATTTTCCAGGAAGATAATTGCATCTCAGGAGAAAAGACAGCCCTCCAAGCTTCTGAAAGATAAATTGAGGTATAAAGAACCACATCGAGTTTCCATATTTTAGACAATTTCTTAACCAATTAAGTTTAAATGTATTGTTAATATCAAAAAAATCTATCATCTCTAAGCCACCTTTTACTCTTTTACCTGATATAACGTCCTTTTTTAATTTATGTGGTTTATTTTCCCATATAAAATCTAAAGAATGGGTTTTATTGACATCACCTCATAGTTCAATTTTCACATCAAATCTTCTGACCAATCAAATGCTCTCTAGTGTCTGACATGCCCCGCCCCTTCTTCTCATTGGCTGTTCATTTGATGCACTTGAGCTCAACAACTCTCACTGGCAGAGTGATGAAAAATCCAAACACTATTGGCTGTTTTTTAAAAAAGGGGAGGAGCTACTCTATGCCCCGCCCTCCATGTTTCAGTTGAGATTATGTCAAACATTTAATAAAACATGCACATTTCAGAGACCTTTACCATCTGGAATATGTATTATTTTGAGATATATGCAAGGCTCACCTGTGACCGTGCAGCGGAAGCCCTGGCAGATAGCAAAGGACTTCTGGCAGGAGAATCGAGCTGGAGGCGTACATGATTCCTCCTCTCGACCATTATTTTGACACGGTTCTCCTCCAAACTCAGACGGCTGGATCAGCGTGGCATAGCGGAACTGCAGATAACAGAGCAGAACCATCAAAAACAAATACAACCCCAAATCAGACTTGGGACAGCATGAAAAACGCTATTGCATATTTCAACAAGACAATGCTGAACCACATTCTGCACACATAACATAGTCCTGCTGCTGAGGGTACAAGTACTGGACTGGCCTGCCTGCAGTCCTGACCATTCTCCAATAGAGAATGTGAGAAATTCATTTAAATACATGAATAACCTTTAAAGTTCACATGAAGCAGAAGCTGCGTCTGTTTTTTATTCATATTGTGATGCAGTTCCTACAGAAATGGAAGATTAAATGAGGAAATAGTGGGCGTGGCTTGTTTTTTTATACTGTGAGCAATGCACCCAATGCTGTTGCTGTTGTTAACAGGTAAATATTGAAGCCAGACAGAAAACTGTACAATATGCAGAAACTCACCCTTTTTTTCAGACAGGCATCACAGCGAGTCCATGAAGACCACTCAGACAGTGAACAGTCCACTGGGTCTTTAGGTGCCGGGTCAGCGCTGCTCAATGATGAGCTATAGCCGCAAACAGAAATTTTTAACTAAAGCTGCATAATATATCCAAAAATGATCATTATTGTAATAATATTCCATTCATCTTTATTTCTATAGCGCGTTTACAATGTAGATTGTGTTGGAGATTAGCTATATATTGCTTGAGCATCGATATCTGATGGATAACAGTGAATTATTCTGTAGCCAATCGAATAAAAAAAAAATCTTAAAGGGGATAATAATGTTAACTTGATTGTTTTTACACTTTAAAATATGTATATTTTTATTATTCTAGCCAAACTAAAAGATATAAGAAAAATATCAAGTGTAATAGGAAATACTGTGAAAAATATCCTCACTCCTATTAGAATTCATTCATTCGTTCAATCAATTTCCTTCGGCTTAGTAGTCTCTTTTTCAGAGGTCACCACAGCGCTGAACCACCAATTATTCTGGCATATGTTTTACACAGCAGATGCCCTTTCAGCCGCAACCCAAGTACTAGGAAAGCACCCATACACACACACACACACACACACACACACACACACACAATTTTGTTTACCCAATTCACCTACATATTCGGACTGTGGGGAAACCAGAGCACCCGGAGGAAACCCACACCAACACGGGGAGAACATGCAAACTCCACACAGAAACGACAACTGACCCAGCCGGGACTTGAACCGGCAAGCTTCTTGCTGTGAGGCAACAGTGCTAACCACTGAGCTATCGTGCCACCCCAGGATTTAATTGTAAAGTAAAAAAGTCTCTTATTAATTAAGGGTGATCTAGTTACACGTTTCATGCACTTACTATAGTATCAGTAATTACAGTTAATTATGCATAATAGGGTGTATGCACTGAAGAACTTTTAATTTTTCAGTAACCTGGGTCAAGCGCTTGCGGTGAACTGTATGCAGTTATAAAATCGGCTTGTTTAAGCTCCATTTTCTTTAAAAATCACTGATCTTCACTGCCTGATTGATATACGATATACCAATGAATGTACAAGAAGCGCTGTATTAAACTCCATTGTAAAATATCTAAATTAATTTTACTCCAGTGTTTTCAATGGAGTTCCTGTGCTCTCCTGCTGATCCTGACGGTGCATGTTAACAGTCTTTCATCTCGTTTTACGCTTCAACAACTAAATGAACGCTTAAGTCAATTTAACTGATTATATTTTAATTACATTACAACATCAATGCTCTAAAAGGAACGGTATGAAATTAAAAATATTCACCGTAACCATTCGCCGGCTGTTTGACAGTAGGGGAAAAACACTAGCTGTGCATATACCCTATTACATGCAAATAATCCTAAACCTAACCCACATTCTAACCTAACCATATAGTAAGCACATGTGATATCTGAACATTATGGTTACACACCTATAACAACGCCACCTTAAAATAAAGTGTAACCCTAAACTAACATTGAATGATGAGCTCTGACAACCACAACAACAAACAACAATTAATAACATTGGAAATTAGGAAAACCACTTTATATTAACACTCAGAATTTCTAAATCATACATACCATAAAATGCCCAGGCAAAGTATTGCTGAATTCACTCTTAGAAAGCTGTGCATTGTAAGTTAACATCAAGGCAAACCATTACAGACTAGATAATACAGTATTAGACCTTAAACCCTTGAACAACCCAGCAACTCCTCCCCTGTTCAATGACAATGTTCAGAATAAGACTCCTGCAGTGCTGTAATATAAAATACTTGTATTGGAAAGCATTTAATGTCTGGTCCTGGCAAAATTTTGCAATAAAATGTATATAAAATATACAGTGCTCAGCATAGACTTCTCATAAACCACACAGAGCTCTCCATTTTAAATATATATTTTCTCCAGGATGCTTTACAGTAATATTTGTTGTGCATATATATTTGATTAGTCAGTACTAAACCAAAACCTTAGGATCATGGCCTAAATACCGAATGCACCCAAATTAATGTCGGAGCAAAATATATTAAATTAAATTTTAATTAAAAAAAAAAAAAAAAAAATGAGAATGAGAAGAAACATAAAAATATATAAAACATTGTTGAGATTTTAGATAGTTTGTCTTGTGTTTTTTTTTTTTTCAATATTAAATTCAATTAAATTCAAGTTTATTTGTATAATGCTTTTTACAATAATTATTTGAATACAAAAATAACTTTTGAATTTATTTAAATGTATAATCATTCTATTTCTAATGATGTTCGGGGACCAAACCTTTATTTTAATGAAGATAACTGTTTATTAAAACTGATAAAACTGTTAATAATAAATAAAAATATAATAATATAATAAAAATATTAATTAACAAAAACAAAATCTATAAATATGTCTCTAATTAAATAAATAAATAAATAAAAATGTCTCTAAATGAATAAATAATTTTATAATATATAAATAACTATAATATTATAATATATATATATATATATATATATATATATATATATATATATATATATATATATATATATATATATATATATACATACATACATACATACATACATACATACACACATATATATATATATATATATATATATACATAACATTTAATATATTTATTATATCTTGTTATATGTGTAAAATAATAATTTATTTTTTTTCCCTTTATCTGTTATTTGTTATTTTCCTTCTCGTAAATGAGCTCCTCCATCAAAAAGAAACAGAGAGAATCAATAGGAAATGTTTGTTTAGAGCTGCATTCAGCCTAACCATTGGACCCTGAGTTACACATTAATAAACTTATATACAATTACTGACTTTGTGTTTTTTTACTTTAATCTTATTTACATAGCCTACTTTTACACTGTATAATGCTGCAAAATTATGTTGGGCATATATAGAGGACATATATTACGATATTGGTTGTTCACATACAAACATAGGCTACAGTAAGGAATAGGACGTCAATTGAATACTAGAGTGTTTTTAAATCATGTGAGTGTTTTAAATGATACGTGTATTTCACATTTTAGCAGCAAACGTACCTTTGTGTGATGATATCTGTTTGTAATGTCGATAATATGCTTGAAAAGTCTGTGTTTTATCTCGACTAATTGGTTTCCAGACCTGCATGCTGTGTGAAAACTAAAAATCCTGTTCTCGAGCGTCCTCTACTGGCTCATAATGATACTGCGTGTTGTTGCTGGAAGGGATACAGCTGCGGCCGGAGGTTATCAAGAATATTTATTCATTCATTTTCGGCTTGGACCCTTTATTAATCACAGCGGAATGAACCACCAACTTATCCAGGATATGTTTTACGCAGCGGATGCTCTTCCAGCTGCAACCCATCACTGGGAAACACCCACTCTGAGAATATTTAAAAGAAATTCCATTAATTGCATTTTAATTAACATCTACCCCAACTATCACAGTAATGAAAAATAATAATTAACAGGGACATAAAAATTATGAACAGAAACGGTGACAAAGGGCATAATGATCATCTATTAGACGTCTAAACGCAAAACAGCTTGGTACGGTGATGTAAACAAACGTCACAAGTGACCAAATTGTGAACGTATTTGCTTTATTGTGATTGATCTGCTGTAAATCATTTGAGTCTCTCAATGAACTAATCTAAATGAAAATTAGCATTTGTAACGTTTCATTTCCAGGTGTGTTAGAAAATCAAACAAAGTTTATCGGTCTCGTACACATTGCTCAATGTTTTGTTTGTAGACAAAATAAGGCCAACTACATGTGTCAGAGTGATGTCAGTTCACAAAATAACTTAATAAAATTGGCACTTATTAGGCTCATTGTAAATACATACCTCAGCCTACATTTTCCCAACATAAAATACGTTGCTCTGGGTACGTTTCGTTGCACTTTTCAGATGACAAATCCACTAGAGGGCGCTGTTTACATGCTTGTGAATCTGAAATATGTTACTTAGGGTGTGTTTCAGATACACATCCTTTTTGTAGACGTTCACTAGAAGGTGGAGCTTGTGGTACAGATCAGCTAGCAAAACACTGAGCTAAACCCTTCGCTAATCTCAACCAATAGTGTTTTCAGAAGCAGACGGAAGAGAAAAGTGCACTGCGAACACATAGTTTACCTTGATTTTACATTGCTTTCTCTCATTTGTTGAAGCGTGCTTCACCAGACTCGAACCCGAGCGCTCTGCAGTATAAACACAACAAAGTGTGCTACGGGCAAACGTGTTCAACGTGTTAAGATGTTTAGTGACGTTTATTTGGTGTTAAGCAAAGAACTGCATGAAAATAATCCTGTATTCTCCAATAACGTGTCCCTATAAATATCATTAGTGTGAAAAGGAACTAAAATTGATGTCGCCATACTAGTGTGATTTAGTGTGTGTTTATGTCGCCCCCTAGTGTTCATTTCACCCACAAACTGCAGTCAAACATGTGTTTAAGTACTTTTTTCTTTAGCGATCTTACAAAAATGTGGGCTGAAGAATGCATTTTCAATGAGTCTGTGTTGCAACTACGATACAAAAAGAAAACTGTTATATCGGGACAAAGATATTCAGACAGAAACCGTAATTAAACTGCTTTATCTACAACATTTGTTAATTGTGTGAAACTGGCGCTGTAGCCCTTGACATGGACTTCTTTTAATCTGACAGATCCACATACAGTACACCCATATGGAAATCTGATATATGGTCATATTCATTCATTCATTTTCTTTTCGGCTTAGTTCCTTTATTAACTTGGGGTCGCCAGAAGGAATACAGCAGTGCCCGGAAGTTAACGAGAATATTTATTATTTATTATAATTTATTTATTATTTATTATATTTATTATTTATTAAATTATCCATTGATTGTATTTTTATTAACATCTACCCCTACCCCAACTCTCACAATAATGTAGCAACAGTGATTATACAGAGTATTATTCATATTATTAATTATATTGCAGACTAATTTGCATTCTATTGACGCCAAAGAGCTTAGAATGACTAAGAGGCGACACTCAATAGAGCGTTCCACTGCAACAGCAGCGCCAAGCAACAGCCCCGGATTCCGCCATTTTGAAGTGAAAGCGATCGGCTGTCCATTGGATCTTATTGCTGTCGCGATGGCGAGCAGCTGCTTAGTTTTTTATTTATTTATTTAAAAACCGCTTTAAAGCTGAAATACAACCTGAAAGACGACAATACAACACTTACCATCACAATCATCAGCACTTTTAATAGTTTATCATACAGACTTATAATATGATGCTGTTCCATTGGAATTTTCATTTCAAAATGGCCGCCGCGTGACACTAGCAGCATCTAGTGGCTGTTTCCGGAATCGCACTAGAGCGTTGCCTCTTGGTGATTCTATGCTCTTTGTTAACGCCTACCCTTTCTTCAACCCTCACAGTAATGTAAATGCTAACTGACCCTCCTGGGGCTTGAACCAGCGACCTTCTTGCTGTGTGCCCTGCTGAAAAATCCAGCTTAAACCAGTCTAGGCTGATTGGCTGGTTTTAGAGGGGTTTTGGCCACTTCCAGGCTGGTTTCCAGCCATTTCCAGCCTGGTTTTAGCTGGACAGGCAAGGTGACGACCAGCTAAAACCAGCTTGGCCAGCCTAGCCAAGCTGGGAGTCCAGCCAAAACCAGCTATGTCCAGCTTAAACCAGGCTGGTCAAGCTGGTTTTAGCTGGATTTGGCTGGTCATTTTTTCAGCCTGACCAGCTAAGACCAGCCTGGAAGTGGCCAAAACCCCTCTAAAACCAGCCTGGTCAACCAGCTAAAACCAGCCAACCAGCCTAGGCTGGTTTAAGCTGGATTTTGTCAGCAGGGTGGCTACCCACTGTGCCACCATGACATACATATGGTCATTTATAAACACATTTATAGCAACTATATTTGAACATATACATATTTAGATAAAATATATATGTAAAAATACGAGAGGGGTCTGGCTGCAGACCTGGTGCAGTGCAATCTGGACTGCATCCAATGCTTTTTAATGGGCTCACCTAACCCCACCCTTAACACAACCCGTCACAGTGACGTCACTTGCTCCATTTAAGTGCATTGCGTCTGACATTGCATCGCTGAGAGATGCAGTCTCAGCTTGCATCATAAAGGCTGCATCCAGACACTTCTGGAAAATACAGTGGCTCAGTGTTAAGCACTGTGGTTTGCATGTTCTCCCAGTGTTGGCATGGGTTTCCTCCGGGTGCTCCGGTTTCACAGTCCAAACACATGCGCTATAGGGGAATCGATGATCTAAATTGTCTGTAGTGTATGAGTGTGTGTGCGAATGAGAGTTTATGCGTGTTTCCCAGTACTGGGGTGCAGCTGGAAGGGAATCCGCTGTGTAAAACATATGCTTGAATAGTTGGCGGTTCATTCCGCTGTGGCGACCCCTGATAAATAAGGGACTAAGCTGAAGTAAAATATGTTGCATTTGTGCAATTTAAACATGACCTTGTATTTTACACAGGTAATTTGCATATATCAGATTTCTATAAAGGAGTAAAACAAACATGAACCCTGAAGAGACACATGTATACAGTAAACTGCTCATGAACCACACTGAACTTGCAACACTGAGTAAAGCCAATTTCATAACACGGATTTGAGAAATTCGACAAATACAGTTTGTCATTCAAAAACACAAAGCATGAACAATATCATAATACACAATGAAGATCATAAATGGAGATGCTTTGATTATGTTAAAACTATTTTAAATTGCTTTTCAAAATAGTAATAATCATATTAATAAAGAGTTCCTTGGAGAAAAACCTCAGCACAATGTCAACATACAGGCTCTTCCAAAAATAAAAGGTAAAGGTGCAGTAGGTGATCGTCGTCAGAGACGTGTGTTGTTTTGTTGGTTGAAAGTCTCTTTAAAGTCCGATAGTACTGATGAAAGTAAATGATCTAAAAGTGTATATGTGTGTTTTTATATTCTGGTTGAGGCATCCACTGCACACGACATTTGGACACGACTGTCGGAATACGCCCCCTTGTGGCAGTCGCACAGAATGTTCAGTTCTGACGTGCACAATGGGAGAAAAGCTGTTCTGTGTCTGAATTAAGGGAGTGCAAAAGAGCCATTATTCTCTGCTTTCACAGTGGTTGAAAGAATGAATGAATACTAGAAACTTAGAGATCGCTAAAAATATTGGAGGGAATGTGGAGACAATAATAAAAAAAAAATTTTTTTTTATTGTATATTGAACAGAAATGGTTTTTTTTTTGTTAATATAGACATTTACCGATTTAAAAAAAAAAACCAAATAAACTACTATTTCTCATATCGCGTGCACAGACCTGCTTGGACAACACTGGAAAACATGACATCCGGTCGGCCGGTCGCATACGGTCTAGTCGCAGGAGTTCAAATATTTCAAAGGATCCGCAGCTTAAAGTGTCACGCAGATCTGCCGTTTGCACACGAGAAAGTGTTAAGTCAATTGCTGAATCAAAATCCTGAATCAATATTGGTGTGAGTTTTGCACGCTGGAGTAAGAACGACACCATGGCTGAAGTATTTCTCTTAGGGTGCTTTCACACCTACACTTTTGTTTCGGAACGTATCTCGTTTGCCCAGTTAGCGCGGTTCGATTGGCATATGTGAACAGGGCAATCACGCTCTGTTCCACGCCAAAGTAATCGCTCCGAGATCGCTTGAATGAGGTGGTCTCGGCTCGATTGAAACGAACCCTAGAGCGGTTCGATTGCAGTGAGAAAGCGATCCGATCCGAGCGCGGTTATATCACAGTGTTTTATGGATATGTAATAGGCTTACGGCTATATGAAGAGAGAATTATGAGTATGGCGGGAAGTTTCGCGAGTCTCCGGATCCCCGCAAACGAGTGATGATCTCCCGGTAATCTCGCGTCTCCCTCCTGGTCCTCAAATAGGCATCGTCTCGCACCCTTCTCACCCCTCCCCACCGCGTCTCTCCTCAGACACGTCGCGCGCGCACCCTGTCAATCACCACCAAACCACCACCTCCTGACAGCTGAGCGGGACGCTGCAAAATAAACCCTGACACTCTGACCAATGTGAGGAGAGTTTACTCGCACGTGACTTGTTTTAGCTCTTTTGGTCCGATTAGAAACTTTGCAGTGTGAAAGCGAACCGCTCCAAGAGCAAAGAGCAACAATGTAACAATTGTAATCTCTGTTTCGGAACAACTGAATCCATTCACAGGTGTGAAAGCACCCTTAGACGGGTAATGTTCTGCTTTAAAACATATTTCAGTAACGCAGAGCTGATGTAGTTTGGGTTGTTTTATGAATGGGTTATATCAGTGGCGGATTTAGGCATAGGCAATATCGGTGATCGCCTAAAGCGACATCTTGCTGGAGGCGGCATGGGGGGGACAGTGCAAAAAAAAATGCTAATGTATAAATTTAGAGAGGTAATCCCAAAAAGAAGACGTTAGGGGTCATTTATATTTAGCATCTTTAGCACGCGCAAGTTTGTTTATCTCTATGTGCAACTAAAACCAACCCAAGCTCATTCTGAAAATGTATCCTAGCGGACGTTTCTGGAGACCGCGGTTTACGTGGCCGGAGGTACTTATGGCTGCATTTCGTTTATTCAAGCGAACGCTACGGGGCGGTGTGACGCCGCTCCTCTTCGCGCTCGTTGGCTGACGGCTCACCTCTATGTGGAGGGCTTTCCCGCCCTTTGTCTGGTTAGCTTGTCGTGTTACGTCGGCAGAGCGGAGGCCCAGAGGAGGAACCGGCTGCGGTGACGACTGGGAGAAGAAAGGTTCCAAACATCAGGCAAGACAAAAAACAGAATACAAAAAATAAAGCGAACGGGTTCATAACGGCGAGAATGCGGTGAAATCCAAAAACGCGGTCAAAATCTGACAAGGGCTTTTCTTTTTCTGCACGGCTTTTGTAAATCGTCGCTTGGGTTTAGGGAAGGAGGAGGAGGAGGGTGGCTGGGTCGCCCAGTCAACCGTTTAGTCCAGGGGTCACCAACCTTTTGGAAACTGAGAGCTACTTCTTGGGTACCGCTTAGTGTGAAGGGCTACCAGTTATTAAATAACACATTTTATTAATTTACTTTTAATTGTATGTTATTATTAATAATGAATAATATTCATCTATGTGAAGACATTGATCATGGTAATGATTTCTTACAGTAGTTGTCAACAATGATTTAACAAGTTAGATAAATATCAATATGCAACACTTCATTTGTCTGAAATAGTTTTTAAAGTTTTTTTTTTAAATATAACTTAAAGTAAATTTACACTAATGCAAGTGTGATTTAAAAAGAATCCCTATAAAAATATTAGATGCAGCTTACTCATATGTGGTGCTATGGTGAGCTATTTTTAGAACAGGCCCGCGGGCAGCTCATGTGAACCTGGTGGGCTACCTGGGGCCCACAGACACCATGTTGGTGACCCCTGGTTTAGTCATTCGGTCATTCAGTCAGTCAGACAGACGGTCACTCGACAGCTGCCTCTGGTGGCTTTTTACAACCAGCGCGAGCGTGATCTCTCGCGGATTGTCGAAAAACAAAAACTGCACAAATACGTACCTCCCGGGACGTATTTTGCGCTCTACAGAAACGTCTGCGGGGCTACTCTTTCAGAATGAGCCTGGGTTGACTAAAACAATGCTGGTGAAAGCAAACTGACGCATGTGCGCAGAAAACCAGCATCTCACATGCGCTGCTCCAATAGATGAGCGATCCTTGCATGCATGAAATATTGCACATTATGGCAAGTTTTGCTTGCTCCACAGCTGAAAACGTGCTAGATATAATACCATTTTTCGTTGGGAATTGTAGTATTAAGTATTTTAATGTTTTCTAACTGGCGAATGACATGATCTAGTGGGTTTCTGTCATCTTTAATGTGTGAGTTCAGGACACGTGGCTTTGGACGGCAGGAGAGGGACTGTGTTTTCAAAGTTATTATGCTAATGAATGGCATTTTGGCAGATCACCTACTGCACCTTTAAATAAAAAAAGATGATTTTAATTTAAATATTATTATTTTTTGGCTTCTAAAAAACTCTTTTTATTCGTCTTTGACTTCATGCATTTGCACGTCCATCATACTGTGATCCCACTGGCCTCGCTTCCCACATTGCGTCAGTTTTTAGATTTATTTTGCAAAAAAATATTTCATTTCTTGAGTATTTCATTCCCGGCTATTGATAAGACAGTCAAACTCTGTCCTTTGCGAGCTAAAGGTGCACTTTATTCATTAAAATAGATCCAGTCTGTCAGTTTTCGGTCATCAGACTTTGTGAAACGTCCCACAAAGTTCAGCACAGTTATTTTCAGTCCCTTCCGCTTTGTTTCCTCTTCAGTGGCTCTTCCTAGAAATGAAAAGATAAATAGTGCACAGTTTACTTCGGTTTATTTGCTAATAAACTTCACCTTATGAATAACAATTCCATCATGATGCAAACACGTGCTATGTACACCCGCGAGTTACGTCGATGTCTGGGAAACACACTTTGATTTGTGTTGGGACAACATAAAAAAATCCAGTTTTCACATTTCTCCACTTAGGACAGCGTTTTCATCACAGATACGTTTTCATTTCCTAAAAGTGCCATCTCAGTGTGGACGAAAGGCCAAAGAAGAATATGTGTTTTAAAAAATAGTGTGAACATGGCCTGAAACGCACTGTATTTTGCTGAAATTCCTGCAGCACTGAACTGAGGTGAAGCTTTGGGATTATCCTGCGCTCCGCTGAGCATCTGTGACTAATTTGCAGAAGCAGAAAGCAACAGAAAACCCTATCCTCCTCTCCCCGTGCATCCCCTGGTGTTTTCCTGAAAAAGGAAGCGAGGAGGAGAGAAACCGACCCAGAAGACGTCGCTCTTTAGGCATCCTGCTGGGAAGAGTCTGGAGGATTTATCTGAGCATCTGCTGCTTTCTCCTGCAACACAGAGAACGAGACTATTGATGAGAACAAACATGACAATAGATGTGCTACCTATCCTGCTTTTATATGTGCTCATTCTGAGCTATCACAGTACAAAACTCTGATGGAAACGCAAACATGCCCACACACTGCAAAAAAAATGTTTCTTACTTAGAGATTTTGTCTTTTTTCTAGTCCAAATATCTAAAAATTCTTAAATTAGGAAGCCTTTTCTAGATGAGCCCAAACTATTGTCTTGTTTTAAGAAATAACGTGTCAAAATGAAGCAAGTTTTCCTTAAAACAAGCAAAATAATCTGTCAATGCTGTAAGCAGTGGTGTAAAGTAACTCATTACAAATACTCAAATTACTGTAATTAATTACCTTTTCTCAGGAATTGTAATTTACTGAGTAGTTTTTTAAAAAAGTGTACTTTTACTCTCACTTGAGTACATTTTTAGTGCTGTATCGGTACTTTTACTCCACTACTTTCCTTTAACCTGCAGTCACTAGTTTTTTTCTTGTGTATGGAGATTAACAAAATCAGACCTGTGATTCCTGTCCAATCAAATCACACAATGAAGGTAAATAGCATCATAATGAAGTACTTCAAGAAATGGGCGCTTTATAAATACAGCAAACTGTTTGGAAGCATTAAAAGTGTCCAAGAAGACGTCTAAAATCAATATCAGTATTTGACATCAATAGGTTTAGGATGTTGGCTTGACATTGGATTTTGGTTACTTTCTAACACAACCTAAAATCAACCAAATATCAACGTCATTTAACGTCGTTACTGGACATCAAAATAACATTATCATTAGACGCTGGCTAGACATTAAATTTTGGTCACCTGACATCACAACCTAAATCTAACCTAATATTAACGTCTCATGACGATGTGTGCCTGCTGGGCAATAACTAAATGCACTACAGAATGTTACGTTTACACACACATGCACAAATAACATGTAAATGCATCAGCTTTTCACAGCGTAATACTCACTACTCACTAGGCAAGTAATGGTACTTTTAGTTGAGTATGATTTTTCAGTACTCTTTCCACCACTGGCTGTAAGTAAAATAATATTGTTTTTCCTTTGGACATACTAATATTTAGCTTACCACATTGGCAGATTATTTAGCTTGTTTTAAGGAAAAACTCACTTAAAAGTGAATAATATGAGAGTTATGACAATATACTTTATTAGGTACACCAGTCCAACTGCACGTTAATGCAAATTTCCAATCAGCCAATCACATGGCAGCAACTCATAGACATGGTCAAGATGATCTGCTGCAGTTCAAAGCGAGCATCAGAATGGGGAACAAAGGGAATTTAAGAGACTTTGAACATGGCATGGTTGTTGCTGCCAGACGGGCTGCTCTGAGTATTTCAGAAACTGCTGATCTACTGGGATTTTCACGCACAACCATCTCTAGGGTTTACAGAGAATGCTCCGACAAAGAGGAAATATCCAGTGAGCGGCAGTTCTGTGGGCGCAAATGCCTTGTTGATGCCAGAGGAGAATGGCCAGACTGGCTCCAGCTGATAGAAAGGCAACAGTAACTCAAATAAGCACTCGTTACAACCGAGCTCTGCAGAAGAGCATCTCTGAACACACAACACGGCCAACCTTGAGGCGGATGGGCTACAGCAGCAGAAGAGCACACCGGGTGCCGCTCCTGTCAGCTAAGAACAGGAAACTGAGGCTACAATTCACACAGACTCACCAAAACTGGACAATAGAAGATTGGAGAAACGTTGCCTGCTCTGATGAGTCTCCATTTCTGCTGTCAGATGCTCGGCTCAGAATTTGGCTCCAACAACATGAAAGCATGGATCATCCTGCCTTGTGTAAGGTGTTCAGGCTGCTGGTGGTGGTGTAATGGTGTGGGGGAGATTTTCTTTGGCTCCATTAGTACCAATTGAGCATCAACACCACAGCCTACCTGAGTATTGCTGCTGACCATGTCCATCCCTTTATGAGCACAGTGTCTCCATCTTCTGATGGCTACTTCCAGCAGGATAACGCAGCATGTCATAAAGCTCAATCATCTCAGATTTGTTTCTTGAACATGACGATGAGTTCACTGTACTCAAATGGCCTCAACAGTCTCCAGAGCTCAAACCAATAGAGCAGCTTTGGGATGTGGTGGAACGGGAGATTGGCATCATGGATGTGCAGCCGACAAATCTGCAGCAACTGGTGCAAAATCTCTGAGGAATATTTACAGTAGCGTGTTGAATCTACGCCAAGAAGGATTAAGGCAGCTCTTCAGCATTAAACTATAGATCTTATTTTTGCAGTATATTTCTTTTTTGGCAAAATGAGGGTTGGATATGTCAGCTTACACCTTATTAAATAAATTACGATATTATCAGAGATCACAAATATGAGAAGCAAGCTTTTATGCACTTTGTTTAATTGTAGGTTAAAAAGGTGATATTTTGACATGGTTTTAATTCATAACTTTAATAGTTTTGTTTGTTTTAATCATTTGAGTCATTCATGTTTCAAAAACAATGTAGTACGCTAAAGAGGTAAACACTTCCTCTCTGTTTCTCATTTCAGTCAGTAACAGACCTCCCTTAAACTTCCACGATACTCCAAAAATTCCATGACCGGTGGAAACCCTTAATATTACACAAAAACCAAAGACATTTCTATTGATTTCTAAAAAAAAATGACCTTACCAAAACTTCTGGCACACTGACTGAGCTGTCCTGTAATTCCTCTACTGAAGTGGCATCTGCGGTGGTTTGCTTCTCCGGATCAGGAGTCGCACCTAGAGAACAGGATAGCAGGATTTGTTCTTTTTTTAGATAGTTTTTGCAGTATATATTTCATTTTCTTTGTTTTAGTAATTGTAGTTTATCAGAGTTATGAGAAAATGTCTAGTGTCGACAGTTTAATGTCTGCGCAGGTTTCATAAACCTTTTGAGCAGACATCTTAGTAATAAAAATGTAATAATTATGTGAACAGACTATACATTCGTTCATTCATTTTCTTGTCGGCTTAGTCCCTTCATTAATCCGGGGTCGCCACAGCGGAATGAACCGCCAACTTATCCAGCAGATTTTTACGCAGTGGATGCCCTTCCAGCCGCAACCCATCTCTGGGAAACATCCACACACACATACACTACGGACAATTTAGCCTACCCAATTCACCTGTACTGCATGTCTTTGGACTGTGGTGGAAACCGGAGCACCCGGAGGAAACCCACGCGAAGGCAGGGAGAACATGCAAACTCCACACAGAAACGCCAACTGAGCCGAGGTTCGAACCAGCGACCCAGCGACATTTTTGCAGTGAGGCGACAGCACTACCTACTGCGCCACTGCCTCGCCACCAGACTATACAAATGCAACTTAAAGAAATAAAGTAAAATAATGAACGAGACTTAAAGATCAGAGTCAGTAAAATGATCCGAACTTCCCATCACTAGTTTCAACCCAAGCTCATTCTGAAAACGTAGTCCCGCGGACGTTTCTGGAGACAGCGGAATACGTCCCGGGGGGTACGTACGGCCGCGATTATTTTTTTCAAGCGAACGCTGCGGGGCGGTGGGACGCCGTTCCCTTTCGCGCTTGCTGGCCGACCGCTTACCTCCATGTGGAGGGCTTCCCCGCTGCAACCCGTTTGTCCACTCAGCTCAGCGTGTAACGTCGGCAGGCTCGAGATGCAGAGAGGGGTCGACCACGGCGACCGGTTTCGAGTCCGGGGAAGAGCATCTCCAGCAATCAGGTAAGACAAAAACAGAATCCCAAAAATTAAGTGAACGAGTTTCGTAACAGGGTGAGAACGTGGTGAAATCCGAAAACGCGGTGGAATAAAAAAAATCAGGGCTTTTGTTTTTTTGGACGGTTTTTGTAAACTGTTGCTCGGGTTTAGGGAAGCGAGCGGGCGGGCGGGTTGATCGGTAAGATTGGTTGGGTTCAGGGAAGGAGGAGGGCGGGTCGGCCGATTGTCGGCCAGTCAGTCGGACAGCGGCCTCCGGTGGGTTCACGCGAGAACAGCCCAGGCGCGAACCGCACTCGCGAGAGGCGTCTGAGACGCGAAAAAGCGCACAACAGCGGCCTCTATTCGCGAAAACAAAAACTGCAGCCGTACATACCCGCCGGGACGTATTCCGCGGTCTCCAGAAACGTCCGCGGGACTACGTTTCCACAATGAGCCCGGGTTGACTAGTTTAGATTAGTTTTAGTTTTCGAGTATTAAAATAATCTTGTTAGTAAAAACATCTTTCACAAGATAATAACCCTCCATCTCGTGAACTCACAAGAATCAGTAGCGGACGCTGATGTCGACGGCTCTGTAGTCTGCAGTGTCATCTGTGAAAGATCCAGCTCCTCGCAGGAGTCCACCGAGGGCTCAATAGTGTCCTGTTTGTTTATGCAAATCTCCGCAGTTATTACTTCCTCATGAGGGTCTGTGTTTATGGCATGCTCAGATCCCCTTGAGTCTACTAAATGCTGAGGGCTCATAAAGTTTGAGGACGTCTCCGGAGGTTCACAGGACTGAGGGCGCATGCTGGCGAGGGGGATCAGACCCTGGAGCACCGCGGCTGAAATGGGGTGCGTCCCCAAACCAACAGCCTGCGCTGGGACGAACGCCCACTGCTGCTGACCCGTGGCTGGGGAGTGGAAGAGGTTGGCCTGGCCCCAAATCACAGGCTGTCCTCCGGGGAGCATCTGGGCCATGTGGAGCGGTGTCTGAACCCCGAACGCCATCGGAGTGGCCTGGGGCGTCCAGTGAGCCGCCTGGAGGGCACCCATGGTCATATAACCTGAGGAACAAGAGCAGACTCTGAGAACCAGCAGGGGGCGTATTACAGAAAGTGTCTTATCAAACACAGGCTAAATGGACATATAGTTAAAGTCACAATTATAAGCCCCCTGCATATTTCCCCCCCAATTTCAGCTTAAAGTGACATGTAAAGGCTTCACTAGGGTAATTAGGGTAAAGTTAGGGTAATTAGGCAAGTCATTGTATAACAGTGGTTTGTTCTGGAAACAATCCAACACTAATATTGCTGAAGGGGCCAATAATATTGACCTTAAAATGGATTTAAAACAAATAAAAACTACACCTTTATTTGTTGCGAATAAACTTGCAGCCAAAATGACATACTGTTCCTTTAACTGTTTCTCAACTGGTGGGTCGTGACCCAAAAGTGGGTCGCGGGAACATTTTCAGTGGGTCGCGGAGTGTGTGGTCAAAAAAACAACAACAAAAGTTTAATTTTTTACTTATTTTGCATATACCGGACTTTTATTTTGAAATGCGTGCGCGACAACCCAACCGTTTGACAAGTGAAATTTCATTTAATTATTGCAACAAATATGTCAAAGCGCAAGTACGACTCCGAATATGTTAAGGATGGATATATATATATATATATATATATTGACGACAAAAAAGACTTAAAGCATCAGTGTCATATCCCTAGTAGCAAATAATTCTGGCCCAGATTTGGCATAAAGCTGGCACAGCAGGCATTCATCCGGCACTGGCATACAGCATGTGGGCCAAACATGGCCCGGGTTTGGCAGAGGTGGCACCGTCTTTAAGGCGGCACACAAGATTTGGGCCAGATGAAAAACGTAGTATTTGGCCCAGATTTTAAAATTTGATAAGTGGGCCATGTGAGTTTGGCCAGTCTCGACCCACATTTAAAATACACTAAAATCATTTTTGAGTAAAGAAAAAAAATTCTACCAATCAGGTCACTTTGAGAAAAAGCGTGCCCATAGTGTGCCTAAAGCGCATCACTCCATGCGTTTATCAATTTCATTGCAATCGTGACACACCGACCTATCTGGCCCAGTTCAGGCCCAGTTATGAGTTATTAACTTGGCTGAGACTTGGCCCAGATATGGTCTGTGTTTGGCCCTTGTCTGGAAGCCAGATTTGGTCCAGTCATGTACTGTAATTCACTGCGGCATGTGGGCCAAGCAAAACCTGATTGTGTGGGCCAGAGCTGGGCCAGAGAAATTTTGCTATGTGGGATGTAGTGAGGTGCTCTCATAAGAGAGCATGAAACCTTCTATGTTAAAACAACATTTAGAAACCAGAAAACATGTTTTATTAAGAGTTTATTATTAACAATATTTGTCGTTTTTACTTTGTAATATTGGTAAATTTCTTATGATGTATCGGTCACTGCTTGTTTATGTTAACAAATAAACACAAATTAAGTATAATTCCTAAAATTGTATTATAGTTCCTTAAAATTTGGGTCGCGGCTTGATGACCTTGTAAAAATGTGGGTCCCATGGCCAAACTAGTTGAGAACCCCTGCTTTAACTGATTATAAAACTGATAGGAAATCAGCTTTTGTAGGATACCTGTGGGGACAGCGGGTGGACTAAAATGGGTGAAGAGTTCAGGTCGGACAAATCGTCGTCTCCTTCCGGGATCCAGTGTGGTGGCCGGTGATGCGGGCATCTGTGACAAAATTGATACAATAATTTGCATGATGGTATAATAATAAAGTGCACACAAATACATGCATATACTCACTCAGACACATTCAACATTTCTCACATTATCAGTTTATTTATTATAGCTAATTAACGGGCACGGCAAGTGTTTTTCAGCCACCGATAAACTTCCGGTGCAATGTTCATTTTCAATTTCATCAGGTTCCTTTTACAGAATCAATAATGTAGTAAATAAAAATATAGTCCTGTAGACCTAACCAAACTAAAGAAGTATTGAAATAAATCATTTACGTGTCAGTGTTAAAAATGAGAAGTTTACTTACAGAAAGGATGTCTGGCGGGGTGGCCATGTCTCCAAAAAGATCCACCTGGCTAATATTCTGCAATACAGTCAGTGAAGAGGACAGACAATGCATTTTACAAGACAGAACATCTGCATACAATCAATAAATGAGCCAACAAATTAAATAATAATCAGATATTTGGCCTGAAAATGAAATAATGCTTCAATTGGAAATAAAGTAAAGCACAATATGTGATTATCAGCAGAAAACCTTCAATAAAGACAATGATCAATGTAAGAAAATATCGGTAAATTAACAGTTTTACATGTTTTGGAATTAGTGTTTCTTGCTATTTGTTTATGCATATGGGAAGTTTGAAAAAGTGACTTTTATTGACATGTTTAGTAGTAAACTGATATATTGGCTGTAATCATGGTACAAAAACAAGTAATACACTGACTTAATTCTTTATTAGTTTTAAACAACTAAAATGTCAGTAAAAGTCACTTTGTTAAACTGTAGAGTTAAACTTTCAACACAAAAGTCAACAGAGCAGACAATAATGTCTCATAATGCAATTCATAAACAGAAAACACCTGTGAATGACAAAATATATAGGTTTTTTTTTAAGTATGGCAATGAATGACACCAACAAATGAACAGACATCGAGTATAAAACATGAAGTACAAGCAATGAGGTGAATTATAACAACACTGTATGTCCATTTAGCCAGAACCCAAAGTGCATGCAAAACAAACAAAACCCAATAACAGCACCAATATAATATTCTAGTAACATAATCAAGAAATCTCGAGTTTTGATGTACTCAAACACAAGCAATGTTTGTTAGTTGTTCTCAAACATTGCAGAAGGGGGAATGAGATTTATGCAGGACTCCAGGCACTCAATATAGGCTCCGACTGAATGAACAGACAAGCAATAACACTCTGTGAAAAATGGACTGATAACAATATTTAACATGGATTCATTCAGATGAATCTGTTAGAAACCTGTCTGGCTATTTGCAATGCTTAGCTGACTTTTTAGTGTATTTTTTGTTCAACGTCATGAAGTAAAAATTTTCAGTGCAGCCAATGACTTTTATTTCATTTTGTCCAAAACAACTTTTCTTATGAAATAGTTGTCGTTAATGCAATGCAGTTGCAGTACTAGATTCTGCTAAATCCATGCTAGAGGTGAACCACAAAAACAAACATCTGTGTGACTTTCCACACTGTAAAAAGTAGATAGTTGACTTAAAAAAGTAAGTGAACCCTTTGTACCTTCATTTTATAATTATGCATAGTTTATAAATAAGTTCATTACTAATATTGAGGGAAAAGATTTACTCACTTTTTTTGTAAAGTCAACTAATCGCTTTTAAAACAATGAGTTTAACACTTTACGTAAAGTCAACTAATCGCCTTTAAAACAACAAGCTTACTTGCTTTTAAAAAGGTCAATTAATCGCTTTTAAAACAATAAATTTACTCACTTTTAAGTAAAGTCAACTAGTTGCTTTTAAAACAATGAGTTCAGTCATTTTAAGTAGCCTACTAATCGCTTTTAAAACAACGAGTGTACTCACTTTTAAGTAGTCAAGTAATCACTTTAAAAGCAACGAGTTTACTTACATTTTAAAGTAGTCAACTAATCGCTTTTCAAACAACGAGTGTACTTATGTTAAGGTAGTCAACTAACTGCTTTTAAAACAATGAATTTACTCACTTTAAGTAGTCAACTAACCACTTTTAAAACTATGAGTTTACTCACTGTTTAGGAGGTTAACTAATCGCTTTTAAAACGAGTTCACTCACTTTAAGTAATCAACTAATTACTTTAAAAGCAATAAGTTTACTCACATTTCAAAGTAGTTAACTAACTGCTTTTCAAACAACGAGAGTACTTACTTTTAAGTAAAGTCAACTAATCGCTTTTAAAACAAGTTCACACAATTTAAGTAGTCAACTAATAGCTTTAAAAACAACGAGTGTACTCACTTTTAAGTAGTCAACTAATCGCTTTTAAAACAACTAGTTCACTCACTTTAAGTATTCAACTAATCGCTTTTAAAACAATGACTGTACACACATTTAAGTAGTCAACTAATCGCTTTTCAAACAATGAGTGTACTCACTTTTAAGTAGTCAACTAATCGCTTTTAAAACTATGAGTTTACTTACTGTTTAAAAGGTTGACTAATCGCTGTGATGAATTTGAACACTTTTAAGTAAACGAATCGCTTTTAAAACAAGTTCACACAATTTAAGTAGTCAACAAATCACTTTAAAAACAACGAGTGTACTCACTTTTAAGTAGTCAACTAATCGCTTTTCAAACAATGAATTGACTCACTTTTAAGTGGTCAACTAATCACTTTTAAAACGATGAGTTTACTCACTGTTTAAAAGGTTGACTAATCGGTTTTAAAACAATAAATGTACCCACTTTTAAGTAAAGTCAAATAATTGCTTTTAAAACAAGTTCACACACTTTAAGTAGTCAACTAATCACTTTAAAAACAATAAGTTTACTCAAATTTTAAAGTATTCAACTAAATGCTTTTAAAACAACGGGTGTACTCACTTTAAGTAGTCAACTAATTGCTTTTAAAACAATAAATTTACTTACATTTTAAAGGTCAATTAATCGCTTTAAAAGCAACAAGTTTATTCACTTTTTAAGTGAAGTTGACTAATCTTATTTAAAGCAACGCAATTACTCACTTTTTACAGTAAAGTCAACTAATTGCTTTAAAAGCAACTGGTTTACTCACTTTTTACAGTAAAGTCAACTAATTGCTTTAAAAGCAACTGGTTTACTCACTTTTTACAGTAAAGTCAACTAATTGGTTTTTCTACAGTGCAGTCATCCATTCCCTTGTATATGATCACTACTTTAATTAACATTTTGTGACATAACCAAACATAGAAATATTTTGATCACTTTCATTTTCTGCAGGATTCAAATCCTTTAAATGAAGAGTGAACGATCCGTGAGAGGTTTGTTTGAGGGAAAACAGGCATGTGAAGGTTGTGCGAATGTCTGAAATAAGACAAAACCTACAGCCATTAGATGGTGTTTTGGAACGTCATAGATCCCGTCTTTCTGCTGACTTGTGGGGACCTAGAAATTATAGTATGTTCGTTAGCAACATTTTTTGCTGTAATAGCAACACTTTTTGAGTGATATTTTAAATATATGTGCATGTGAAAAAGATAGTACACCCTATTGAATTTCATGGTTTTCCATATCAGGACATAGTAAAAATCAACATGGTCCTCGGCAGGTTTTCAAAACTTAGAAGATAAAACCTCAAATGAACAACATCACATGACATCTCATAGCTTGCCATCATTAATTGAACAGAAATAAAGCCAAGATACAAAAGCCACAAGACAAATAGAGGATTTAGATCCTGTAGATGCACTTTTAGCCATAATTATTAAAGATTTTCTAGATGAGCTTCTCAGATCATCCTGGAGGAGTTTTGGAGATTTCTGCAATTCAGATAGGATAAGCTCTGCATTTTGACTATTGAAGACCTCAATGTTTTGTGTTTCTTCTTCAGCTGCTGTGTTTGGGATCATTGTCTTCCTCAGGACTCAATTTTGGCTCAGCTTTAGCTGTGGAACAAGTGTGCTCACTCATCCCAACACACTAACCAAGCCACTGATCACACTTCTTGATCATCAGTTCAGGCATTGATTAGCACTGTCTGACTTATGTTCATGCTATATGTTGATATACGTTTTAGCTTCCATGCTTTAAGACCTGTCAATGATCAAATTATTGATTTGGAGCAACTCGAATTTCATAGGGTGTCTAATCTTTTTTACATGACTGTATTTAAATAGTGCTGTGTATTTATAACTGGCAGAGTATTACACATTTAAATAGTTTCAGTTCATGGGACATCTTGCGGGAATGCATATTTCTGGATTCATCTTTCTTTGTGATTTTTCTAACAGTAAAAGTGTTGGGGAAGATGGATTGGCTCAAGGAAGTACCTGGTAAACGCTCTCCTCTGATTGGTGGCCATGCAGGGGCTCGTGTCCGGCTTCAAACACAATGTACTACAAGGAGTTGGAAAAGAAAATGAGAAACGCCCCATATGGAACCAATCAATACTAAAAAACAATTAAATGCTGACGGTTTATCAATTAAAAAAGTGTTTTGTAACTTAATCAAGAACCCTTTTTTGTTGTTGGTTTAAAAGAACATAAATTGACAATTTATTTTATTTATTTCCTTTTATTTAAAAAAATCATATTTAAAGACCCGTATGCATTTAAGTCTTAAAGAAAAATAAATAAGTTTAGTACACAGGCTCATTAGAAATACATTCTTCAGCCTACATTTTTGTGAAACTGAAAAATGTACTTTAACATGCGTTTGACTGCTGTTTGTAGGTGAAATGAACACTAGGGGGCAGTATGACGACATCAACCTTTGTTTCTTTTCACATTAATGATATTTACAGGGACATATTACTGACGAATACATAATTATTTACATGCATTTCCTTCCACAACCCTTAACGCTGTCTATGATTTGTAATGAACACGTTTGCGTCCCCTATCTATCTCCATATGGACACTTTTCTGGCGTTTGCTAGTAGTTTACTTTCTACGGTGTTGTGTTTGTCCTGCAGAGCGCTCGGGTTCCACAAAAGAGATAAAAGCAATGTAAAATCAAGGTAACTGTGTTCGCAGTGCACTTTTCTCTTCCGTCTGCTTCTGAAAACACTATTGGTTGGGTTTAACGAAGGGTTTACCTCAGCTAAATAACATATTTCAGATTTGCAAACATGTAAACAGCGCCCTCTAGTGGATTTGTCATCTGAAACGTGCAACAAAACGTACCCGGAGCAATGTATTTTACGTTTTGCAAAAAACGTTTTGCACATATTTCTAATGAGCCAGGTTTAAAAAATATTACTATTAGGTCTTAAAAATTTAAATAATGTTAGCCCTGGTAGAGAACAGTTCATCGAGATTGCTAACAAAAGCCAAAAATCGAACAAATCACGATTAGACGTCAGACTAAAAGAAACAGCAGTGCCTCAAATGGGATTTTTAAAAAGTTAAATACAGAGCATTTTAACTGACATTAGCTATGATAGACAGTCATGTCTCCTAAGCTGAAGCAAGAAATAAAACCTTCTGATAACAAACAAAACAAATAAACAAACATTTAATTTATAATAATACAAAACAGTAAAATTACTAGTTTAACAAATACAAAAATAGACTTTTCCGACACAGTGTGTTTTAAATGCTTCAGTCTTACTAAATCAGATCTGAGAGCTTCTATCTTAGATTTTCTGCTTCCGATATGGATGTTAGAGTTGTCTGTATTCAGTGTTAGCGAGATCGAGGGCACTGGATTCAACATATCCGAGAACATCCAGCGAAGACATTTCTGACTCTTAAAAGCACATAAACACAGAAGCACAGACCATGACTGCATATCAATACACTATGGAGCAAGATCAGTCTCAAAAATAATACATTTACGAAATAAATACCATACATGCGCAGCACAATTTACATTTACAAAATCCTTAAAACACAATTCATAAATACAACACACAATTTGCGAATTCACAAGTAAAAAACATAAATATTTTCACCGAATGAATTTGTGTATTTACGAATCGTGTTTTGAATTTAAGAATTGGATTTGTGTATAATAAATCGTGTTTTGAATTTACGTATTGGATTTGTGTATAATAAATCGTGTTTTGAATTTACAAGTTGGATTTGTGTATAATGAATCGTGTTTTGAATTTACGAATTGTATTTGTGTATTAATGAATCATATTTCGAATTTACGAATTGTATTTGTGTATTAATGAATCATATTTCGAATTTACGAATTGTATTTGTGTATTAATGAATCATATTTTGAATTTACGAATTGGATTTGTGAATTTACGAATCGTGTTTTGAATTTACGTATTGAATTTGTGTATTAAAGAATCATATTTCGAATTTACGAAGTAGATTTGTGTATTAATGAATTATATTTTGAATTTACTAATTGGATTTGTGTATTTACAAATTGTGTTTTGAATTTAAGAATTGCATTTGTGTATTTAAGAATCATGCTTTGAATTGACAAATTAAACTGGTGTATTTATGAATCATATTTCGAATTTACGAATTGGATTTGTGAATTTACAAATCGTGTTTTGAATTTACGAATTGGATTTGTGTATTTACGAATAGTGTTTTGAACTTACGAATTGGATTTTGCACATGTGAATTGTGTTGTGCATGCATGAACTATATTTTGTAAATGTATTATTTTTGAGACTGATCTGGCTCCATATTACACTGCCAATGACAAGAGTTGAACTTCTGAGAACAATAACACCAAAAAAATAAAAAATAAAAACAATATTGACGACACTTAAATGGAGGGATTAAATGATAATAAACTCAAGCTGGATGTCAATAATAATAACATCAGGTTAAAAAAGCACTCACCTGATACACCGGATCATCAACCTCATCTTCCAGAATAGTCTGTGCCATCATTAAGAGAAATAGACCATATTTTTAAAAGATGTCATTAGGAAAACTCAACAAATGTAATAAATAAATCCACAACTTTAACTGTGACAAAAGAAAATGCCAATTGTATCAATTGATTTTCTGGGAGGAAGGACCACATCTATAATTTATTCGGTAACACTTTAGTTTAAGTACCAATTCTCACTATTAACTAGTGGCTTATTACCTGCTTATTAATAATATGTTGGCTATTTATTAGTAGACGTTCCAGGGTTCCAGTTAAAAATAGGAATATATATATAGAAATAGATATAATAATTGCAACCTTAGGATATACGGTGATGATGAAATCATTTTGTTTGTATATGTTTGTGTAATTCTTGTGTATTTTGTATGTAGCAAACAGATTTCCTTGAAAAAGGACCGCATTAATAATCCTTATTTATAAAGCACATATTCTGCATGAGCTTATTCTACATTTCTACTCCTACCCAAATACCTAAACCTAAATACAAACCTTATTACTAATAATAAGCAGCAAATTAGGAGTTTATAAAGGCAAAAGTCAGAGTTAATGCTTTATTAATACGGAAAAATTGTACCTTAAAATAAAGTGACCACATGTTGATTTATATTGTCATTTCTGTCTGGCATGAAGCATACTCAGAAAAAAACGTGGTCATACTTTAAATATACGGTTCCATTAGTTAATGCATTAACAATCTTACCTGATAGATGACTTGTTCACAGTGTTTTTCCTTCTGGCTCTTTTTTTCTGCTTCTTCCCTTTGTTTTATATCATGAATGAGGGTGAAAAGGTCTCGCAGATCCAGTATAACTGGCGCTGCCTAAATGAGGAGAGAAAAACAGCACATGCTCACTGGAAATATGCCTACAATTTTGTGAATCTGCAAAAAATGTACTTAACCACACATTTGACTGCAGTGTTGCAGGTGAAATGAACACTAGGGGGCAGTACGACGACATCAACCTTTGATCCTTTTCACGCTAATGACATTTACAGGGATGTATCATTGGAGAATAAAGGATTATTTTCATGCAGTTCTTTGCTCAACACCAAATAAACAGCACTATACATCTTAAACGGTCTATGATTTGTAATAAACACGTTTGCGTCACCTATCTATCTCCATATGGACACTTTTCTGGCAATTGCTCGTGTCTCATTTTGTACAGTGTTGTGTTTGTGCTGCAGAGCGCTCGGGTTGCAGTCCGGTTAAGCACGCTCCCACTAAAGAGATAAAAGCAATGTAAAATCAAAGTAAACTATGTGGTCGCAGTGCACATTTCTCTTCTGTCTGCTACTGAAAACACTATTGGTTGGTTTCAGCGAAGGGTTTTGCTCAACCAAGGCTTATTGTGGAAACGTAGCCCCGCGGACGTTTCTGCGGACCGCGATTTACGTCCCGGGAGGTACGTATTCGAGCGTTTTTTTTGTTTTCGCGGATCCGCGAGAGGCCGCTGTGTGCGCTTTTTCGCGTCTCGGGCGGGCGCCTCTCGGGAGTGCGCGGCGTTCGCGCCCGCACCGTTCTCGCGCGAATAGCCGCCGGATCAAAAAAAAAAAAAAAAGCAAAAGCCCCCGTCTTCGATCTCGACAGCGTTTTCGGATCCCGCCGCGTTCTCGCCCTCATTTTCTGGATTCCGTTTTTCGTCTTACCTGATTTCCGGAACCCGCCGTTCCCCGGACTCGATCCCGGTCGTCGTCTACCGCGGCCGGCTCGGGCTCATCCTCCTCCGGGGCCTCCGCTCCGCCGACGCAACGCTGTGAGCTAGGCGGTCGAACTGATTGCGTTAGGAAAGCCCTCCACTTGGAGGCGAGCCGTCGGCCGGCGTGCGCGAAAAGGAGGGGCGGAGCGGCGCCACACCGCCCCGCAGCGTTCGCTCGAAAAAAAAACAAACGCGGCCTTTACGTACCTCCGGCCACGTAAATCACGGTCTCCAGAAACGTCCGCGGGGCTACGTTTCCAGAATGAGCTTGGGTTGGTTTTGCTCAGTGTTTCGCTAGCTGATCTGTACTATAAGCTGCGCCTTCTCCTGGACATCTGCAAGTTGGACGTGTCTCTGATATGTACAACAAAACACACCCTAAGTAACGTATTTCAGATTGGCAAAGATATAGACATCACAGCGCCCTCTAGTGGATTTGAAATCTGAAACGTACAATGAAACGTATCCGGAGCAATGTAATTTTTTTGTTATGCTAAAATGTAGGCTTATTTCCAATGAGTTTGGGTTGAATAAAAACAGTCATATCTTTTAACAGCTTAAACAATAGCTATTTATAGATATTTAGAAATATTAAAAATGATGAGCACTTACTGCATGGCTGGTTTTGATTGCCACAAATTTGTGGTTGCCTTTTTTCCCGCACACATAGCCGAAGGCGCGATGGTCTCGTGAGTCTTTGGCAATGTAGGAGATTTCATGAACAGAGTGATGATGCTGTAAGACCTGAGGAGTGAGGATGTTCTCATTATACAGTTGAAGTCAGAATTATTAGCCTCCCTCCTCCTTAGCTCCTCCTCTGATTTCTTAAATGATGTTTAACAGAGCAAGGAAATTTTCACAGTACTTCCTATAATATTTTTTCTTCTTGAGAAAGTCTTATTTGCTATATTTTGACTAGAACAAAAGCAGTTCTAATAATAATAATAAAAAAAAAATTTAAGTGTTTTTTGTAGCCAATTGAAAAAAACACACACATTCTTAACGAGGATAATAAGATTGACCTTGAGGATTTTACATTAAAAAAAAAATTAAGACTTTCTCCAGAACAAAATAAAAGGGGATTTAAGTGACTTTGAACGTGGCATGGTGGTTGCTGCCAGACGGGCTGCTTTGAGTATTTCAGAAACTGCTGATCTACTGAGATTTTCACGCACAACCATCTCTAGGGTTTACAGAGAATGCTCCGACAAAGAGGAAATATCCAGTGAGCGGCAGTTCTGTGGGCACAAATGGTGATGCCAGAGGTCAGAGGAGAATGGCCAGACTGGTTCCAGCTGATAGAAAGGCAACAGTAACTCAAATAAGCACTCGTTACAACCGAGCTCTGCAGAAGAGCATCTCTGAACACACAACACGTCCAACCTTGAGGCGGATGGGCTACAGCAGCAGAAGAGCACACCGGGTGCCGCTCCTGTCAGCTAAGAACAGGAAACTGAGGCTACAATTCACACAGACTCACCAAAACTGGACAATAGAAGATTGGAGAAACGTTGCTGCTCTGATGAGTCTCCATTTCTGCTGCCACATTCGGATGCTCGGGTCAGAATTTGGCCTCAACAACATGAAAGCATGAATCCATACTGCCTTATATCAGCGGTTCAGACTGGTGGTGGTGTAATGGTGTGGGGGAGATTTTCTTGGGACACTCTGAGGCCACAGCCTACCTGAGTATTGCTGCTGACCATGTCCATCCCTTTATGAGCACAGTGTCTCCATCTTCTGATGGCTATTTCCAGCAGGATAACGCAGCATGTCATGAAGCTCAATCATCTCAGACTGGTGAACATGACGATGAGTTCACTGTACTCAAATGGCCTCCCCAATCACCAGAACTCAATCCAATAGAGCAGCTTTGGGATGTGGTGGAACGGGAGAATGGCATCATGGATGTGCAGCCGACAAATCTGCAGCAACTGTGTGATGCTATCATGTCAATTTGAAGCAAAATCTCTGAGGAATATTTCCAGTAGCTTGTTGAATCTATGCCACGAAGGATTAAGGCAGTTCTGAAGGCAAAAGGTGGTCCAACCCGGTACTAGTAAGGTGTACCTAATAAAGTGGCCGGTGAGTATATATATATGTATATGTATATGTATAAGGAAATATTGTAAAATATCTGTTCAACATTACTTGGAAAATATTTGAAAAATAATTCACGTCACAGAAGGCTAATCATTTTGTCTTCAACTACTGCATATATATATATATTAGAAAATATTCATACATTTATTTTTTAACATTCAGAGCAGTGAGGATTACAGCTACGGTTAAACAGATGAAGGATTTACACTAAAACTCTTACCCCTGATCGCTCATCATAAATCTTGATTCCACCAAAAGACACGGTCAGGAAAATCCTCTGCTTGTGTTTCCCTTTTGAGCGCGCAGAGGCAGCGATTCCCTGGAGCAGTGAACAAAGGAGAAGATCCAAGCATGAGAAGAACTGAACCTGCAGTAAACGTCTCGTCCCTTTATCAGAAAGACGTTGGCATCCTTCAGATTGGGGATGTCACATCACAGTGCTTACTGCTGTCATTTATTTATTTTTGACTCAATATTTATTGTGTTTTTACAATATAACAAAGTAACATTACATAATTGCACAAATAAAAATAAAAACAAATAATATTAATAATAACTACTATGAAAGTCAATGGTTACAGGTTTTCAGCTCTTCTTCAACAATAGAAAGAATGCTGGAAACCTGTAACCATTGACTTCTATAGCATTTGTTTTTCCCACTATGGATGTTCAAGGTTACAGGTTTGCAGCATTCTTCAAAGTATCTTCTTTTGTGTTCAACAGAAGAAGGAAATTCATAAAGATAGTGAGTAGATTTTCATTTTTAGGTGAACTATCCATTATTAAGATGGAAGTCTGAAAGCTGGAGTGTCTAAATCATGCCTATAAACAACAGGTAAAAGCTTGAGCAATCTAGGACTTCACAAACTGACTTGACTTAAAAAAAAAAATAGAAAAAAGCCTTTTTTTGCTCTTGGCTGCCTAAAGATCTGCTTCTGCTGCCAGATTTTGGAGCCAAATGCCAGAGCTTTCTGATTAATGACTCTACAGCCAGTGAAAAATGACAACACTGGTGCCAAAGCCATCACTACACTCATAATGAAAACTGCATCCCAATGCACATACTACACATACTAAATAGCAAACAAAAATGGAATTAGTACACTGCAAAATATAACTATTCTTACTTAGAATTTTGTCTTGATTCTAGTACAAACGTGATAAAAAATTTAAATCAAGAAGCATTTTCTAGACAAGCACAACATATTGTCTTGATTTAAGAAATAACAGTTTTATATATAATATATAATAGTTTTTCTTTAAAAAAAAGGCAAATTAATGTGACAATAGGGCAAGAAAATAATAATATGTCAATAGGAAAAACAAGATTATTGTGTTGCCCCGCCCCGGTACTCAATATTCCATTTCAGTTGGAAGTACATCAACATACTAAAAGCCCGCCCTTACCTAATATTCTGTTTCAACTTGATTTAAATCAACATACTGAAAGCCCCGCCCCTACTCAATATTCAGTTGGAAGTACAGCACCATACTGAAAGCCCCGCCCCTATTCAAAATATTCTGTTTTAACTAGAATTAAATCAACATACTGAAAGCCCCGCCCCCTACTCAGTGTTCCATTTCAGTTAGAAGTACATCAACATACTAAAAGCCCCGCCCCTACTCAATATTCTGTTTCATCTAGAATTAAATCAACATACTGAAAGCCCCGCCCCTACTCAATATTTTGTTTCAAATAGAATTAAATCAACATACTGAAAGCCCCGCCCCTACTCAATATTCAGTTTCAGTTGAAAGTACAGCAACATACTAAAAGCCCTGCCCCTACTTAATATTCTCTTTTAACTAGAATTAAATCAACATAATAAAAGCCCCGACCCTACTTAATATTCTGTTTCAACTAGAATTAAATCAACATAATAAAAGCCACGCCCCTACTCAATATTCAATTTCAGTTAGAAGCCCATCAACATACTGAAAGTTCCGCCCCCTACTCAATATTCAGTTTCAATTGGAAGTACATGAACAAACTAAAAACCCCACCCCCTACTCAATATTCCATTTCAGTTGGGAGTAAATCAGCATACTGAAAGCCTCGCCCCCTACTCAATGTTCTGGTTCGACTAGAATTAAATCAACATACTGAAAACCCCACTCTCTACTCAATATTCAGTTTCAGTTGGAAGTAAATCAAGCTACTGAAACCCCCGCCCTCTACTCAAAATACTGCTTCAACTAGAATTAAATCAACATACTGAAAACCCAATGCCCCCTCTTCAATATTACATTTCAGCTGGAAGTCAGCATACTGAAAGCCCCACCCCCTACTCAATATTTCATTTCAGCTGGAAGTCAGGATACTGAAAGCCCCACCCCCTACTCAATATTCTATTTCAGCTGGAAGTCAGCGTACTGAAAGCCTCACCCCCTACTCAATATTACATTTCAGATGGAAGTCAGGATACTGAAAGCCCCACCCCCTACTCAATAATCCATTTCAGTTGGAAGTACATCAACATGCTGAACGCCCCACCCCTTATTCAATTTTCCATTTCAGTTGTAAGCCCCGCCCACTACAAAATAAAGTTGATTTAAGTATTAACATCTAAAAATTAAGTGAGTATTTTTCTTAAAACGAGCAAAATTGGGCTAAGAAAAAATTATATTATGTCAAAAGAAAAAACAAGATCAAGGTAATTACCAGTCTACCAGTGCGATCCACTGATTGGCGACCACTGCTTTAGGAGAAAAACTGCCTCACACATGTCATGCTAATACAGCTGGTCTTAAGTAAACAAAAACACAGGTCCAGCTCTGTAAGGTTTACCTTCAGCTTCATCATGGAGTCCTGGCACAGTTTGTCTCCTCGCGTCGCCGTCACATCATCAATCCCAATTAGTTTAGCCTTATAACGGATCCCGTCACCTCTGTAGCGCTGAATCAGCGCCTGTTCACTGCGATCCTGACCTAAACAACACCACAGAGAGCGACACTGTTACACATGACTTACAGAGTGTTACGCTGGAATAATTGTGGATTTGTGTGCATATAGTTCATTATAGTCTGCGTGAAGTACTTACTAATCTGTTTCGGTTGAAAGTAAATTAACATACTGAAAGCCCCGCCCCCTACTCAATATTTAATTTCAGTTGGAAGTACATCGAAATACTTGAAGCCCCACCCACTACTCAATATTCCATATCTGTTGGAAGTACATCAACATACTGAAAGCTCCACCCCCTATTCAATATTCAGTCTCAGTTGGATGTACATCAACATACAGAAAGCTCCACCCCCTACTCAATATTCAGTTTTAGTTGGAAGTACATCAACATATTGAAAGCTCCGCCCCTACTCAATATTCAGTTTCAGTTGAAAGCACATTAACATACTGAAAGCCCCGCCCCCTACTCAATATTTTATTTCAGTTGGTAGTACATCAACATACTGAAAGCCCCGCCCCTTTTTAATATTTGATTTCAATTGGAACTGCATCAACATACTGAAAGCCCCGCCCCCTACTCAATATTCCATTTCAATTGGAACTATATCAACATAATGAAAGCTCCGCCCCCTACTTAATATTCCGTTTCAATTGGAACTACATCAACATACTGAAAGCCCCGCCCCTACTCAATTTTCCATTTCAATTGGAACTACAACATCATACTGAAAGCCCCGCCCCTACTCAATATTCCATTTCAACTACATTAACTACATTAACATATTAAAAAGCTCCGCCCCTACTAAATATTCAGTTTCAGTTGGAACTACATCAACAAACTGAAAGTTCCACCCACTACTCATTATTCAGTTTCCGTTGGAAGCACATTAACATACTGAAAGCCCCGCCCCCTACTCAATATTCCAGTATATCTGGACCAAAAGCATTAAACTGAAGTGAAATGTTGGGAAAGGGTTAATCTGCTTGTGTTGCTGATATCTGGTGATGGTATTGGATGATAATGGATGTGGATCAGTGAACGGGGCAGCAAGACAGATGGCAGCATATGGGGAGGACCACAGTCTCCAGACTCCTCAATCTGTCACTGGACGCTTGTGCTTTTGGAGACCTGGCACAGAAAACTCATTCACCTCTTAACCCGTCACACAAATGATCAGACATGTTTCATAGTTGGTGAAGAATATTCTGCATTTTTTATTATAAGTTTTATTTTGTGTTCCAGAAATGCTGATGGCAATTGTATTTATAGATAAAATAAAATCTATTTTTAAATTAAATTAAATTAAATTAAATTAAATTAAATTTAATTTAATTAAATTTAATTAAATTTAATTTAGGGCGACGCAGTAGCACAGTGGGTAGCATGTTCGCCTCACAGCAAGAAGGTCGCTGGGTCGCTGGTTCAATCCTCGGCTCAGTTGGCATTTCTGTGTGGAGTTTGCATGTTCTCCCTGCATTCGCGTGGGTTTCCTCCAGGTTCTCCGGTTTCCCCCACAGTTCAAAGACATGTGGTACAGGTGAATTGGGTAGGCTAAATTGTCCGTAGTGTATGAGTGTGTGTGTGTGTGGATGTTTCCCATAGATGGGTTGCGGCTGGAAGGGCATCTGCTGCGTAAAAACTTGCTGGATAAGTAGATGGTTCATTCCGCTGTGGCAACCCCAGATTAATAAAGGGACTAAGCCAACAAGAAAATGAATGAATGAATAATTTTATTTCATTTAATTTAATATTTAATTTAATTTATTTTATATTTTTAATATTATTTATTTTATTTTACTGTATATTCACTATTATATTTTCGATTTAATATAATTTTTACTATTATTGTTTCTATTTTATTTTTAATAGTATTTATTTAATGTAACATTATTTAATGTACTATTATATATTTTTTTGTTTAGTTCATTTGTTATCTTTTTAATTAAATTTTATTGTTTTGTTTTTAATATTCTTTATTTTTTATTTTGACTATTATCTTTTCTTTTTTATTTTATTTTAACTATTGTTTTCTGTTTTATTTCCTTTAATTAATATTTTATTATCTATTTTTTTTTATTTGTACTATTATCTTTTCTATTGTATTTCATTTATTTTTAATATTATTTATTTTATTCTTTGAATTATTTTAAGTTGTGCTATTATATTTTCTATTTTTCATATTATTTATAAAATAGTCTATTTTATTTGTTTTTAATATTATTTATTACACTTTTACTATTATCTTTTCAATTTTTTTATTTCTACTATTATCATTTCTATAAAAACTTTATATTATATTTTTACTTTTATTCTCTTTTCTAATTTATTTTATTATTTTATTTTTTATATTTTTATTTTATTTTGACTATTATCTTTTATATTTTATTTTAATATTGTTTTCTATTATATTTTATCATTTATTTTATTTAAACTATTATCTTTTTTATTTTATTTTATTTATTTGAATATAATTTATTTATTTTTAATATTATTTTAAATTGTACTATTATCTTTTTTGTTTTTTAAACATCATTTATTCATTTTTTTATTCTATTTTATTTTATATTTCTACTTTATTTTATTTACTTTTAATATAATTTATAATATTTTTACTATTAAATTTTTGCTTTATTTTATTTTTTATTTTATTTTATAACTTAGACTCATAAACTAAAAACCTGTCACTGAAATTCTTTTTAAAGGATTTTAATAAAATATGTAATATAATTTACTCTTTATATAATATGTAATAACATAATAATATATGGTAATAATTTATGAATGGAGATGAATGGTGCAACGGTTTGTCTGATCAACAAGAAAATCACTGTTAATCAAAAAGAGATGGTATTTCTCAAGCACTGACCGGGCAAGCAAAACAACAACAAAAACCACATAGATTTTGCACATCAATAATGCCAACAGATAAGAGGTCACCAACTGACCGTGACCTGGACACAAGAAAGCCTGCTTGCATAAATAAATATTAATTCTCAAGAGTATATTTATACGTTGACCTTCTTGCTGGGGGTGAAAGTGTTAACCACTGAGCCAATGTGTCACATTATTATAACATTTTTTATTATTATAAAATTATGAATTTTAATCTTCAAGATTTGCAAAAATAAATCAATAAAAATGCTTTTTATTATGTGCTTCACCATGTATTTTAATAATGACCTGGTTGATAAAACTAAAGATGTTTCTGTGTGTTATTTTCCGCTGCTGTATTTGACAGAAGTGCTCATTTAAAGGGAGTCTGACGCTCTGCCAGAACTGGCATAGGTTACTGTGTGTGTATGTGTGTGTGTGTGTGTGTGTGTGTGTGTGTGTGTGTGTGTGTGTGTGTGTGTGTGTGTGTGTGTGTGTGTGTATGTGTGTGTGTGTGTGTGTGTGTGTGTGTGTGTGTGACAGCTGTGCGTCTGAATCAGTTTTCAGATGGATTCTTGTCAGACTACAGCAGTTGCTATGGAGATGGGGGAAAAATCACGGTTGGGGCGAATTTCATTTATCATTTATTGGCACTGAATCTAGAACATTTGTTAAATGTCAGAAAAATCACTGAACTGAAATCTGTGCTCTTTGTTATGGCTCTTTTTACAAGATGAAAAATGCGTCTCTGATGTCCTTAGTGTGTGTGTGTGAAGATTCAGCTGAAAATATCACACAGATGATGTTATATACCTCCCTGAAACTGACCCTTTCAGGCTTTGATCCTAACTGTAGTGTTTTGGTGACTGTTGCTTTAAATTCAAATGAGATTGTGCTCTTTTCAGAAGAGGGCGGAGCTACAAATGCGTGAACTTAAAGCGACAGTCACTAAAATGGTACAATTATGCCTCATTCACACTATAGCAGCGACTTTGTAGCTGCCTGTCACCTTGGGTGGAGATCTGCTGCAAATGCAGCTATACAGCAGGAACATAACCAGCTTCTGCGGGAGCTAAAAGAAGAACACGTCAGCTCTACTAGTGCTCCTATTGGCTGTCGCTCAAATAAAATAAAATTTAATAAAAAAATTATGATATTTTTAATTTATTTAATTAAATCACAATTTAAAATAAATTTTAATAAAAATAAAAATAAAATAAAGTAAAGTAAAAAATAAAACAAAATTAAATTAAATTTAAAAATAAATTAAAATAAAAATATGACAATTATTTATTTATTTAATTAAAATACATTTTAAAGTAAAATGAAATTAAATAAACAAAATGAACTGAACTAAAATCAAAAAAAGTAAAATAAAATAAAATTCAATTAAATCAAATTTTAAAAATAATAAAATTTATTATTTAAAAAAATTAAAATAAAGTAAATTAAATAAAAATAATGGTGAAAAATAAAATAAAATGAAAAGTTTAATAAAACAAAATTAAAGTAAAATAAGATAAGACAAAATAAAATAAAGTAAAATTTAATTAAATAAAAAATTAAGTAAAAAAGCTAAATTAAATTTAAAAATAAAATAAAAAAGGACCAAATCAAATTAAAAATATATAATAATAAAATAAAAAAATAAATTTAATTAAATTAAAAAGTCAAATAAAAATAAGTAAATAAAAATAAAGTAAAATTAAATAAAAAATAATAAAATAAAACAAAAATGCAATAGAATTAAAAAAATTTATTAAGTTCAAAATAATGATAAAATAAAAAATAAAAAATTATTAAATTAAATAAAAAATAAATTATAAAATAAACTTTATTTAAATAAACTAAAATAAGAAAAGACAAACTGAAATAAAATAAAGTAAAATAATTAAATCAAATAATAAAATATAAATAAAATAAACTACAATAAAAAATAAACTAAATTTAATTTTTTATTAATTAATTAAAAATAAATAATAATAATAATAAAAAAATCTAAAAAATTTTAATAATAAAATAAAATTAAATAAATAAATACGTTCAATTGTGTGTAAAAAATAAATAAATAAAAAACTTCTCTTTGACTCACATTGTTCATTCATCCTGCAAACTTTAAATAAGCATGTCAAATAAATAAATGAAAGTATTACCGGTCACTGTAAAAACGCTGAACCGACCTCTTCTCCTGGACTCCTTCTTGACGGTGACTTTAAGTTCTGCTTGAGGTTCAGCCTCTGTTGACATCCTCCCGTGTTTTTGCTCCTCTCCGTATCATGGAGCTGCTTCTCCTAAAGTGTCTTCTAGTCGTCTTGAGGATATTTCAATGTGCTGCCATACTGTCCCTGTCATCTGACATTAAATCCAGTATCACACACACAACTCCAGATGGTGAGAACCCCTGTTTCTTCTGCTTGCTTTTTCACAGCTGATCCTCTGAAATTCACATTATTCTCTTCTGAAACGCTGTGGAGAAACAGACAAGGTGTTAATCACAGATGCATGCATAATATGTACTGAACTTGAAAGCATAGTTCACCTAATAATGAACATTTTCTGTAAATTTATTCAGCCACAGGTCATCTGAGATGTAGGTGACCTTTTTTTCTTCCTCAGTAGAGCATTAACGAAGATTTTTAGCTGAATAAATAAATAAATAGATAAATAATATACTAAATAAATTAAACAAATGAATATATAAAATGTATAAATAAATAAATATACAAATAAATAAAAACAATGAATAAACATAAAAATGTATAAATAAATAAATAAATATACAAATAAATAAAAACAAATCATCCATATAAATATATAAACAACTAACCATACAAATAAAAAAAACATACAAATAAATAAATATATATATATATATATAGGGCAAGGCATTGGCGCAGTAGGTAGTGCTGACGCCTCACAGCAAGAAGGTCGTTGGTTCGAACCTCGGCTCAGTTGGCGTTTCTGTGTGGAGTTTGCATGTTCTCCCTGCCTTCGACTGGGTTTCCTCCGGTTTCCCCCACAGTCCAAAGACATGTGGTACAGGTGAATTGGGTAGGCTAAATTGTCCGCAGTGGATGAGTTTTTTTGTGAATGTGTGTGTGGATGTTTCCCAAAGATGGGTTGCGGCTGGAAGGGTATCCGCTGCGTAAAAACTTGCTGGATAAGTTGGCGGTTCATTCCGCTGTGGCGACCCCGGATTAATAAAGCGACAAAGCCAACAAGAAAATGAATGAATATATATATACATACAAAAAAAGAAAATAAATAATTAGAAAACATGCATATAAAATATATAAATAAACAGATAAATAAACTAAATAAATAAATAAATAATATACAAATAAATGGAAAATAAATCAACAAAAACCTACATATAAAATAAATAAATAAATAAATAAATAATGTATGAATAAATAGAAAATAAATAAAAAAAATCATACATATAAAATATATAAATGAATAAATAAAAAAATTATAAACAAATAAATAGAAAATAAATGAATACAAATCATACATATAATATATATATATATATATATATATATATATATATATATACAGACAAATATATAATATATAATATATAATATATATAAAATATATAAATAATATATATATATATATATATATATATATATATATATATATATATATATATATATATATATATACAGACAAAATAAATAAATGAATTATATACAAATAAATACAGATATATAAAAATGTGGTGTTTGTTGATTTATATAATGGCAGTGAATGGCGAAAGTTTTTTTGAACGAACCACCAACTATTCCAGCATATTTTTTAAACAGCAGATGCCCTTCCAGCTGCAACCCAGTAATGGAAAAACCCCATAAACACTTATTTACACGCACACACACTCATACAGCCAATTTAGTTCATTAATTCTCCAATAGTGCATGTGTTTGGACTGTGGGGGAAACCGGAGCACCCAGAGGAAACCCACACCAACATGGGGAGAACACGCAAACGCCAACTGGCCCAGCCGGGACTCGAACCAGCAACCTTCTTGGTCAAAAAAATACAAATCTGAAAGCTAAAACTTTGCTCTGCACTTCGTTAAAGATCTGAAAGTTCTGACCACAGAAACCAATGGTGTTATTTTGTGCTCTTCAAAGACTCTCAGCTCATGCTGAAGTCATGCATAATTAATAAACAAGCTTTGATTTTCTTTTTTTTCTTTTTCTTTTTTTGCCAAGAACTGATGAAGGTTATGAAAGCAGGCTGTGATGATCAGACTCCAGAAACACCGCCGGCATGAAGCAGATCAGAAAACACGTGCATGTCCGGCTTTACATCAGAAGTACACAGAAAAAAAGAGGCTTGTATTGTCACTCCGGCACAATGCGATCTGTATTATACGAGCGTGTCTGTGTCTGACAAAGGAATGATTTAATGTGATGAATGAAGGCTCTTTAAAGCTCTTTTTAACTAGGTCAGCGCACCGCTCAATCCTCATGTGGGTCAGAGTCGAGAAGAGCAGATTTTCCCCCTCTAAACCATCACAGAAAACACTTCTGATCAGTGTGTTTGCTTACATTATTCATTAGGACAAATCGGACTGACATGTGTCTCTGTACAGATTTGCATGCACATATAAATCAGGCATTTTTCGGTTGACATTCAGCAAATATGTACTCTCCTGGGACTTTTTTAAATATTTCCCAAATGATGTTGAACAGATTTAGGAAATTTTCACAGTATTTCCTATAATATTTTTTCTTCTGGAGAAAGTCTTATTTGTTTTATTTTAGCTAGAATAAAAACAGTTTTTAATTGTTTGAAAAACCCTTTTAAGGTCAATATTATTAGCCCCCTTAAGCGATATACAATGACTTATCTAATTACCCTAACTTTACCCTAATTAACCTAGTAAAGCCTTTAAATGTCACTTTAAGCTGAGTATCTTGAGTAGTATCTTGAGTCAAATATTATGTATATTAATTAAATCCTGGGGCTTCAGTGTTTTCAAATGTTTTAAATATGGACCACAAGACTGTCAATCCTAACCACCGCACCTTTAGGAATTAAATTACTGCTTTATTTTGAATTATTTGACACAGTAGCAGGCGTTCAAACAAAAATACAGTCAAAAACTTTACTTGGACCCATCACAACAATGAAATATGTGCAACAATTCCTTAAAAACGGTTGTGAATTGCATTATGGGATGTTGATCTCTGCTCTGTTGACTTTTGATGCTGAAGTTTCAACTCTACAGCTTAACAAAGTGACTTTAATTGACACTTTAGTCGTTTTAAATAATATAACGAGAAATAGAAATAAGTCTGTAAAACAACAGAAAATGTGCTGCAGTTTATTACAAGGTGTTTGTAGTTCAATATACAATACGATATAGCACTGCAAACTATTACAAATGTTTATAAAAGTCAATCTGGCAACCTGAAAAAAACAAAAACCTTTCCAGAGTTTTGAATACTGTCAATGCATACTGCTCTCTAACAATCAAATTATTAATTTTGTCACATATAAAGTAAATAAATAAATAAAAAACACACAAATAAAATATATAAATAATAAATATACAAATAAATAAATGAATAAATAATATACAAATAAATAAAAACAAATCATACATATAAATATACAAATAATAAATATACAAATAAATAAATGAATAAATAATATACAAATAAATAAAAATAAATCATACATATAAATATATAAACAACTAACAAAATAAATAAAAAATACAAATATATATATATATATATATATATATATATATATATATATGTATATATATATATATATATATATATATATATATATATATATATACAAATAGAAAATAAATAATTAAAAACATGCATATAAAATATATAAATAAACAGATAAATAAACTAAATAAATAAATAAATAATATACAAATTAAATAGAAAATAAAACAACAAAAACCTACATCTAAAATATATAAATATAAAAATAAATAAATAATGTGTAAATAAATAGAAAATAAATAAAAACAAATTATAGATTTAAAATATATAAATAAATAAATTGATAAATAAATAAATAACATACAAATAAATAGAAAATAAATAAATACAAATCATACATATAAAATATATAGAAATAAATAAATATACAGATAAATATATGAATTAATAATATACAAATAAACAAAGAAACATACAAAACGCGGTGTTTGTTGATTTATATGATGCCAGTGGTGACCGGTATTTTAAAAATAAACACATACAAACAAGTCCAAAACCTTTCCAGTGTTTTGAATACTGTCAATGCATACTGATTCTCTAACAATCAAATTATTAATTTTGTCACATATAAACTAAATAATTGTTCTTTTTAGCTGTTTTCTGCATAATCATCAGCATGAGAAGATTACAAATGTATTGACAGAACACACAAAAGAAAATCTTATCAGTTTTTAAAGGTGCTGTATGTAGGTATTTCACTCTTCTACAGCAAAAAAATACAATAATATGTGTATGCAGAAACATGCTAAATAAACGTATTCGTTTATCAATGCTAGTCGGATATTCTCCTTTAAAAATGCGCATTTAATAAAAAATCAATTGATCTCTAATGACTTATATTGACATTTTAGTCATGTATAATAATAATATAATGTTAAAGAAATAATATCTAGAGAAATAAGGCTGTAAAATGGCAGAAAATATACTGGTAGTTTATTACAGAGTCTTTGTAGTGAAATTATTAAGAGATGTGTAAAAGTTTTACCACTGTACTGTACCTCTCTAATTGTTGTAGATCTAGATTACTGATTGGTGGGAAGGTCGAGTGCATCAAGTAAAAACTTAGATACATTACAGTTAGTCCAGAATAGAGCTGCATGGTTAATTTTACACTGCAATAGAAGAGTTAATATTATCAAAATGCAGAAAACTTTAGGTTGGTTATTGGTGAAGGATAGAGTAATTGTTTCTCTGCTGTGTTTCTTAAGGAATGTTCAGAGTTCCAAGTGTAATGTACTGTCAACTTTTGTGTAGTAATGCAAGTCATCATTTTAACACCAGGCATGCATCAAAAGGAAATGTTTTGCTTCCCGTTTGAAAAACTAATTCAAACCAATGGACTGCATAGAGCAGGGGTCACCAAACTTGCTCCTGGAGGTCAGTTGTCCTGCAGATTTTAGCTTTAACCCTAATCAAACACACCTGAACAAGCTAATCAAGCTCTTACTGGGTATACTTGAAACACCCAGGCAGGTGTGTTGAGGCAAGTTGGAGCTAAACCCTGCAGGGACACCGGACCTCCTGGACCGAGATTGGTAACCCCTGGTATAGAGGAATAAAAACATGAATGAATTGCCATCAGACATTACATGCTTTGTAACAAGTAAAATGAGGTTTAAATAATTATTATTAAATTTGTATTATTAATTATTATTAATAAATTGTTATTTAATGGCACAATATGAAGTGGATTGTTTATCTGGG